CTGATGACCAGAGATTGGTTTGAAGCTTGAGGTCCGTGAGCGACACCTTGAGTCCATGTTATAGAGACCTAGAGAGGCTCACAGACAGAGATCTGGGCCGGGTGTACCATGGTGGCTTAGTCTAAGCCTTTGATACTCACAGAGGATCCATAACATACTGAAGAGCCTCACAGTAATTACCAAACTCAGACTAATCAGAAAGTCACTTTGAACAAGGCTCCCAGAGGGCTCCAAGCACACAGAAGTTTGTGAAACACTGCTCTAAACTGTGATCTCAAGAAAGTCACTTAACGACAGGTGTGTTCACATCTTTATCTCGGGATCAGAGTATCTCTGCTCCCTGTTTTAACATCAGTCCAGGGTCATTGCGGGATCGACAGTAAACGTTTGGAAATGAGCGAGGGCTGCCACAGACATCACCATCGTGAGCCTCCGCTCAGAGAAGCAAATACGCCTGCCTCATCCACACCCCGCAAATGCTGCCTCCGCCACCCCCACCTCAGTGGCTCTGCCTGGAGTTAAGAGCACTAATTCCATCCTTCTTCAAGTGTTGAGTTACCAAGAATGATCCTTTCACCTGCTCAGCATTGCACAAGCCTTTTTGCCAAAGAACCCACAACACAAGGAAGAGAAAATGCACTTTCCTGGGTTTCTGGGGCTGCAGCCGTTTGTGGCCACCACAAGCTCATAGCATCACCAAAGTCATGTGCTTTAAATTTAAACGACCATGCAACTCCGAGCATTCTATTTCATGATCTTTGTTTTATTACAAAAACATTTGCCTTGCTAAGTCTTTAAGTAATTTTGGTGATCTCCAACTTATCATACAGTTTCCCTTCAGTGTAATACCTACTATACACCTGACTTACCATTGAGAAACAGAGATAGGCCCTCTGAGGTTTAGAATTAAAACCAATTCTCTTAGCCTTTACCAACTTAAAGTTGGAATTCTTACAAGAGACCAAATGGTCACTGCTAAATTAAAAAAATACAAGGCTGGAATTTTCAAATGATTGTCCTGATGTTACTAGACATAAATCATTTTTATTTATACAGAGTCTCACAATGTTGCCCTCTGTAAGTGTCATGGCATCATAGCTCACAGCAACCTCCAACTCTTGGGCTTAAGCAATTCTCTAACCTCAACCTCCCAAGCAGCTGGGACTACAGGCACCTGCCACTATGCCTGGCTATTGTTCATTTGTTTGTTTGTTATTAGGCTGGGACCTATTCGAACCCACCAGCCCTGATACATGTGGCCAGTGCCCTAACCACTGAGCTACGGGTGCCAAGAAATAAATAAGTAAATTTTTAAGTATAAATTAACTTCCTACCTACTTCAGACAGATTTCTTTTCTTTTCTTTTCTTTTTCCAATACAAAGTCTGACTCTGTCACCCTGAGTAGAATACTGTAGCCTCAGTTTAGCCCACTGCAACTTCAAACTCCTGGGCTCAAACCAGCCTCCTTTCTCAGCCTTCCAAGCAGATGAGACTACGACAGGCACCCAGCACCATTCCCGGCTACTTTCTCTATTTTTAGCAGAGAAGGGGTCTCACTCTTGCTCAGACTGGTCTCCAAGTCCTGAGCTCAAGCAATCCACCCAGCGTCAGCCTCCCAAAGCGCTAGGATTACAGGCATGAGCCACTGCGCCTGGACCAGACAGGTTTCTGATACTTAAACTCCAGATTCTTACAACTTAATTATTTCACAGGGATTCTGTGAAATATAGAAACAGTCATATATCCCTGAACAAATGAGAGACAGACTATAGTTTTGGTTGAGCCACTATCTGCCTAGTCTGATCTCCCACCTCCACCCACTTTGCCTGACTTTGTAATTTCCTCTCTTTTTACACTATATTTAGTTGGAGCCATGCTCCTTACTCACAAACACCCTTCTCCCCAGGTTTTGGCCCAGCTACAAAGATGAGAACCCTCAAATTACAGAAAATTCTATTTCTCTTTCACTAGCACCATTACTGCAATGCAAACACCTTAGTTTTTAAGTTATTGGTGGTCTGTTTTAGCACAATTATTCGAGTGGTGTGAAATAGATGGAAGAGTATAAATATCCTGGCCTGGCTTTTTTACCTTGAGGAAACAAGATTTCCCGTCTGTTTAATTAAATTTTGCCCTGCCAGGATATAAATGCAAAATAGTCATCCTGAGCATCTGAAACAGGTCACACACTGGGAGGAGCTCAGGTGGAAGGCTGGGGCAGGTCACACACTGGGAAGAGCTCAGGTGGAAGGCTCAGGCATGTCGCCCACACACTGGAGGTGGAGAACAGACTATGGCAAAGGAAGAAGATGCCTGCTTTGTCCTCAGACAGAAACCAATCACCCTGCCTAGTCCCAACTCCCAACATGAACTAATAATAATGGGGGGGGAGATGGGGGACAGGGACGTGGGAAGGGGTTGGCTGGCTATAGGCAAGTATATAGATTGAAATGCTCAGACACATGTTTTCCTTGCAGTGTTGGTTCCTGGCCAACAGGGAGACATGTGAATACACTCAGAGTACCCGCCTCACTCAGATGCCTGCAGGGAACCTCCAGTGGAAGGAGGCCCCATCGCAGGAGGCACAAGTGGCCACACTGGCGTCTCTGGCCACAGCCTAGCACTAGTGCAGTTCAGAGCCTGAGCTTCGGTGCTTGGTCCCTCGAGCTCAGGCCCTGTCTCTGGCCTCCACTAGTGCTGTGCTTTGGGGGACATGATCTAGGCTACTCCATGCCTCTACTCCCCCACCGGCAAAGGAGGCTTGATAAAAATGCTGACTTTCATAAGATTGGCCAGGGATTAAAGGAAATAATCAATGCATGTAAGGCACTTAGCAGAGTATAAAAAGGCATAATATGTGGTTATTATTACATCAATTCAGTCTCGAATCTCTTTATTCTCCTTTCTTTCACATATACAGAATAATTACAACATAATCCAGAAATTCAAACAGCATTTCTTAATTCTGACAAGAGAATGGGAAGAGATGTGCCTGTAAAGGAAGCGGCAGCACCAGGAGGGAGTCAGAAATCTCTAGTGAACAAACCTGCCTGTGACCACCCAGACACTGACCAGCCGTCCTAGTGAACAAACCTGTCTGTAACTATCCCAGACACTGACTAGCCTTCTACAGAAGCCACAAGTCCTGTGGGAACTGGGCAGACAGATGACAAAGATGATTTAGAAGACGGTGAGCGTGAGAGCCCATTCCAAGGAAGGAAGTGCCATGTGAAAGTCAGGATAGAAGATGAGGAACATGGGGTGGCAGTGGAGAGAGGGAGGGAGGGGGTCACGAGGAAACGGGGCAGCCCTGGCAAGGCCTAGGGGAGCCTCGGAAAGGCAGATGGGCATCGTATCTTTGCCCAGGGCTGGGGGTCTCCAAGACACCTTCCTGCAGGAGATGGGGGGCAGTGCCCACAGGAGCTGGACTGTTTAGGGCCTGATGAACCAGTGATGACTCTGGCCCAGGAAGAGGAGGAGCAGTACCTATCCTAGGCCCTTTGATCAACTCCTTAAAGACACAAACACACAACTACATACAGCCCACTGGTCACCAGAATCAAGACTCAAAACAAGGCCAAAGGTTCTGGCCAAAACTGACAAACACGTCCTAGGTACAAATTGCTTGAGAAAAAAGCTTTAAAAGCTTTTCACGGATAGATAGCAATCAGATCACTTTTCAAATAATAGTTCATGGCCGGGAGGAGAAGATACAGAAAGAACCAACAGTGTGAGTTCATCACTTAAAAGCAAGAACAGATGAAGGTCAGTCTGCGTGAACCACACGGGCAACTCGATGGAGGGAGAGACGCACGGCAGGGGCCAGAGGGGAGCACCAAGTTCAGCTGGGGACCTTGACTAGACATGTCTGCAGCAGTAACAAGGGCAATTAACCTGCATAAGAGAACTGAAGAAACCAGCAGTTTCTATGATTCCCCAGCATCCAAAGAGCAGGAAGTACTATAGAAACAAATTTATTTATTCTGTGCAGCTTCAGAGACCAGAACTAAGGAAAGAAAAGACAGGCAGCCAGGGTGTGGTCCAGTCTGAGAAAGCTCATTTGAAAACAGAACTGTTTAAAAACTATTTTGCACAGTCGCCCATGGGTCCCAACACATCCCAGCCACATGTTAAAATGGACATCATCACCTTTTAATCACCACTACCATTTCCTGGGAGGTACACCATTCTGCAGCACTGGGCGCTGTTTTAAACACTGAAAATGCTGGTTTTGCTGCTCCTGCACAAATCACGATAGGTTCCTCCACCAGGGCCTCCCTCTGGTCCCTTCCCCTCCCCAGCCCCTAGGGACACTGCAGGGCCTGGGGTGAAGAGCCCTCCCACTGCAGCACTCGGCTCTCTGAGCTGGCCAGGGGAGAGCAAGGCCCAGTGCGGCCACCCAGCTCTGCTGTCAACAGGAAGTGGAACCCTGAGGAGCTGCCCATGGCAAGAAGGTGCCAACAGAGCGGCGGCTCCTGGGTGCCCCCGCGGACAGGGTGCTGAGACAAGAGAAGCAATGAGCCAGGAACGCCAGAGAGGCCCCTCCACGCCACAGAGGTTCTATTAGAAACATCGTGTTTCTAGTACAGATGCAGCATCTAGCGCAGCACCGTGTTTCCCAAAGTTATGAATTCGGAACACTTTAAAAAATATACCAGTGATGACACCGTGCTCCCTCATCATGACCAGTGTGGCAACAGCATAATTAATCCCAGATTACAGGTGAGACAGTTTACTCGAGTTCACAGCTCCTAAGAGGGAAGCTGGGATTTGAATGCAGACTATGTGCTTTAACCACCCTGAACCTCAGACAGCTCTGCTCCTGTCTTCAGAGAGGTTACTGTACGTGAGCTCCAAATTCCTTCCCTAAGTTCACCTCTGTCACCACCTCAGACCCTCCAATGCTGAAGAGCCCAGCCCTCTGTCTCGTCCCAATGCCAGAGGGACCCCAGGGGCACTGGGCATTCTCCCCACAGCTGCAGCTCAGGGGTGGCCTTACCTTCATATCTGCCAGGAGAATCGCAGGCTTTCTGTGGGGTGGCCACTCGCAGGAATATCTGCTGCCTCCAGGAGTGCCTGCGGGCCTTCACAGGGGTCCCGCCACAGTCACCAAGGTGCTCCGCTTTGGATTCAAAGTCCCTAAAATTATAAGATGGTTGATTGTGACTGCTGGGGAGATATTAATAGGATATTTTTAGCTTGACTTTTTTTTTTAAACAAAGCACTAAATTACAAAGTATCTATTTGTATAAGCAAACACAACTAAATACACACAGAAGTTAAATCAAGCTCATAAGTCATGATTCTGAAAGGACTGCTTTCATGCAGGATGTCTTTCATGAAAAGAACAAGATTATACACCCTTAAATGATTTCTACTGCAATAGATACTAAGAAATAACCTCCACCCATCAGAGTTTCCAACTGGGTCTCTCTTGGTGCCACTTCTGAAGAGAGAAACCGCCTCATGAGGGAACTGTTGTTATCAGGGTCCGATTCTGCCCTAGGCTGTGCATGAGAATACTTTCTCAGCAGAGACCTATGTCTCTGGGGGTTGCCAAAAAATGAAAAGAGATGCAGCTGAATTATACAGAACCATCAAGGCAAAAATTGTGCAGCCAACTGTTAATTGTTTTAACACTTTTTTTTGAGACAGAAACTCAAGCTGTCACCCTGGGTAGAGTGCAGTGGCGTCATAGCTCACAGCAATCTCAAACTCAGGCTCGAGCAATCCTCTTGCCTCAGTTTTTTTATTTTTAGTAGAGACAGGGTCTCACTTTTGCTTAGGACAGTCTTGAACTTGTGAGCTCAAGCAATCCACCCACCCTGATTACAGGTGTGAACCACCATCCCCGGCCCTAACACTTGCATTTTTAAAAACTATACAAGAAAGGCCAGTTACCAATAACATATGTAAATAAATAGAATCATTAATTTTTTTTCCTATTTACATGAAAAGGCCTTTGTAATTTATACCCAAGTATCTACCCACAACTAAGCTTTGGCCTCAACTTACGGATTAGGATTAGAGGTGGTGGATATGCTCACTATCCAGAAACACTACTCCCCCTTAGAGAACTGGCTAAGGGTTTCTTTAACCTTCTGAAGAGAACACATTAATAAACTAATCCTAGTAAAAACTGGAGAACAGCCTGATTGCACATTTTTAAAAAATGACATTCATAAGAAAAAGATGTAAGAAAGAAGGTAACAACAGATTTAGCTGAAATGATTTTTAAAACAGCAAATTACAATAAACCATCCTTGTATATCTAAAGATTATTCAACACTTTAACACTCAGGCTTAATGTATCTAAATTAAGCCCTACCTTTTTGTGTTCATAAAGTCAGAGGTGTTATTTTCATCTACAGGAGCCAGAAATTTTAGAAAATTTGGCACAGAGGAAGAAGAATGAAGTTTTTTCCGCAGGACATTACGGTAGGAGATGCTGAGAGTTTGGTTGAAAAAAGAGTTTAGCATAAAGAAAACATAAAATACAAAGTATAAAATACAAGCTTCAAATAAAAGAAACATTTTCCTTCTAATACTAAGAAAACCAGAAAAGAAATTAAAAACAGTTCACAAATGAGATTTAATGTTTGTTTTCAGTTGGCAAAATTTTATTTTATTTATTTATCTTTGAGACGGAATCTCACTCTGTCACCCTGGGTAGGGGGCTGTAGCGTCAGAGCTTATAACAAACTCAAACTCTTGGGTTAAAGTGATCCTCTTGCCTCCGCCTCCCTAGTAGCTGGGACTACAGACGCCCAACGGGGTCTCACTTTTGCTCAGGCTGGTCTCGAACTCCTAAGCTCAAGCAATCCACCCGCCTCGGCAATGAGATCAATGAATTAATTTACAAAAAAAAAATCAGTCTACCTTCCAAACAACTCTTCCTTTCAAAATGGAAAAAAAAAATAATTTTTCTAAATTAATCAGGAAGTTTCTGATAGGGCACAAATTGTGGTGTATACGATCAGACGGAGATATTAACGTCTATGTTCCTGTACACACAACAGGGCAGGGGAAGGTAAAAATAAGCGTCTTAAAGAACCAGTTCGCCACAAGGCCTATGTTCATAAAGCTTTTTAAAAAATTAATCAGTCGTAAAATAAAGTTGGTTCAAATGACAGCTGGAAATAAGACCAAATATAAACAAAAATGGAAACACAAACACACACACTCCAGTGGTGGCTCTGGGTTCCTGCGGGGACTTGCCCCCCACTCAGCAGGTCCTCCTCAATGTCAATTCCCCAGGAAGACGGACGACACTGAACATGCCATGCGAGTGTGCTCACCTCTTCGGCACAGCATTCCCACTTTGTTCTCCACTGGAATTATGTTTTAGGTACTTAAAAAAGTTTGGCGAGGAGGCCGAGGGATTAAGACGAGGTGGAGGAGCTGAAGGCTGCGCTGGGCAAGACCCAGGCTGGCCCCCAGGAGGAGTGTCCACACTAAACAGCAATCAGAGAGAGCAGGGGTTAGAGTGGAGGGGGCACAGCCAGGATGGAGGCACAGCCCGGACGGGAAACGGAGAGAAAGAGCGAGGCTGGTTTTGCCTCTCGTTTCCCGAGACTGCCACAGAGGAGAGGACTGCTTTCTACCCCTCTCCCTCCTCTCTGCGCTCTATCTGGCAAAGGCAATTTTCAGTAAAAACCAGAAGGCCAAAGGCCATCCTTGACCATTTCCCACGTGTCTGTACTTGTCTCTCCACTCCTTTTTCAGGAACTGACAGGAAAAAATAAAAAAAATCCGAGTTTTAAAAATACAATTTCCTTTAAAAGGAACAATATCCTGCCCTGAATTTCAACGTCTTGTTTCCTGTAGATAAACAAGAAAAGAGTTCATAAGAAGGGGAGACAGCGAAGTGGGCCATGCCAGAGACGGACAGACAGAAACCTCCCTGACCACTGGGGTGGGGCAGCAGCCATTCTAGTGCTACCTGCTCAGGGGAGAAAAGCAAAGTATTGACAGTAAGTCCCCACACTGCGGCTCGTGACAAACAGACTTGGCAAGAGAACTAGGCCCCTGCAGATAAGAACGTTCCCATCATCACTGAAAGTGGCAGAAACGAGGAGTGTGTGGGCAGGGTGGGAAGGCAAAACAGAAGTAGCGTGTAGACAGCCATCGACAGGACAAGAAACTGACACAGCTACGGCCAAACCATGCTTGCCTCTAAAATGTCACATCCATTAAATATCAGCTTCTGAAGTATTCCCTGCTTTTGTGATCCCAGTTACCCACGTGATTTCCAAAGGCTGAGTGAAAGCAGAGCTGAGAAGCTGCCCTGTGTCATCCCGGGATTGTTACTATTAGTCATTTCTTCACTGGAAACATTCCAAACACCACCGCACAGACTCACCTCTGTCCAGACTTTCATCATCTGTGTATAAACCACACTGACATATATGTCCCAAGGCTTCTGCAACTATACACAGGTGTGGCCCCAAGTCATACTGTTATTCCTAATTTATATTTGTTAGGTGAAGGATTTTTAAAGATCTCTATTGTCTCTGGCACACAGGGTTAATTTAATCACTAAGGGACCCTGGGAAGGAACAAGGAGAACTTGTGATCACCCATCTCTATAACCAGAAAACTCCATCTGAGCTCAACTATTAAAATCAATAAATCTTGTTGGAAGAATCAGGGAGTCTCACAGTCAAAGAGACTTTAGAAAACACCTACTCCAATTTTGGTTTAAGAGAGGCTCGATTTGCCCTGGTCACCACTAATTCATGCCAGAGCTAGCACCAGAGCCGGAGGCGCCTGCTCTGGTCCAGGCGTCCACATCACTCTGCAAAGCCCCGCCTGCTGAGTCCCTGTAGCTCCTCCTGCGGCAGTGGGAAGGCGACCTGCTCACACATCCACACCATCCTCACAGCCAGCAGCAAAGTTCCAAAGCCAACCAGGTCTCTTCTAGTTTAGGGAGCAGTTACCACGTGTAACTGCTCATTTGGGCCTGCTGCCCTGACAAACTTATGTCATCTACCTGCACAGGCATCTCCTGGAGCTGGGAAGGGCCATGTCTCCAGTTCAAGTGTCACCTTTGTAGGCCAAGAGTAAAACCTGACGTGGATGTCTCTCACCCATCAACACGCCTGGGATGCACATACCTGGCTAGTCACAGATATGCCCCAGCTATTCACACAACAAATTCAAACAAATCTTACTTCCGTTCATGAGGCGTCTCTGTGCTCACTGAGTGATACCTCACAAGTTTCCTCTGCGGGACCACTGGAGACGCTCGCGCAGCTTCCAGAGGCTCCTGGCACTCCGCGGGGAGGTGACTCAGGGTGTTGGCGCGCCTCCTGAAGGCCTGCTGGGGTGACAGTGGGGCAGGCTCTTCCAGGAGATGGCTCTCCGCGTCACTGGACAGGTCATCCGAGGAGCCCGGGAGCTTGAAGGAGCTCCCAGAGAGGGGCACGGCTTCCTTTTCATACACAGATGGCTCCTGGCAGCAAACAGACAGCAGATCAGACCCATCAGCAGATCCAGGGGAACGTGTGGGCTTGAAAAATCTCAAGTTCTAGCACAGGAAACATCTCAGCACGTGAGTGCAGCTCCTGATCACAGCGACATCAAGAGGCTGCCACCGCAAGGGTAAGAAAATAAAGGCCCCCTAAATGTTGCTCCTCAAAGACATTACACGAAATGGGAACCGCACACGCAAGAGCGCAGGACTAAGCTCAACACGCAGCTGCTCTGAGCCTCGCTAGAGACGCTCCCTCGCCAGAGGACAGGACTCACTATGACTGCCTCTAGGAAGTCTGAGTGCTGGGGAGCTTGTCTCCAGCTTATCTTTGCCAAGTGTGTTCATGTATGTTAGAGCCACATTTTAAGGCCCTCTCTGAATCTGCTCTAATGCTGAGATTTAAAACTTGGTGATTTTCAGATCAAAAGCTATTAATATTCTCAGCATATGGAAAATTTTTCTCTGGACACTTACTGCTACAATTCAGGGGAAATCATTTAACTTCTTCCTGCACCTAATTTCTTCATCTGTAAGAAGGCACAGCAAAAATGTGCCTTATTGGGTCCCAAAATTTAAGCAAAATGATACAACCAACAAAACTCTTCACATGATAAAATTTTACAAAAAATAAATTATTGCTTTATTAGCTACTCAGTAAATTTACTGAGTGGGTACTCAAACATTTGTTAATGATCATGACCATTTTTTTTTTTTTTGAGACAAGGTATCACTATGTTGCCTTCAGTAGAATGCCATGGCATCACAGCTCACAGCAACCTCTTAGGCTTAAGCGATTCTCTTACCTCAGCCTCCCAAGTAGCTGGGACTACAGGTGCCCACCATGACACACAGCTATTTTTTTTTATTGTAGTTTGCTTAGCTATTGTTCAGCTGGCCCAGGCTGGGTTCAAATCCACCACTCTCAGTTTATGTGGCTGGCGCCATAACCACTGTGCTACAGCACCGAGCCCATGACAGTGTTTTAAAGATGGCATGCCTTCACGGTGTACACTTTTATAAAGGAATGAATTACTACTCATGCAAATTGACGTCCAGCACTGCACCTACACACAGTTGGCAGATGATAGGAAAAAAATATACAAAATGTGAGAGGAAGTACACCAGCTCACCCTGCTGAAAGTATTAGAAGAGAGAAATAGAGCAACACGGAGTAAAAAAGGAGTGAACGCTTCTAACAGAGGACCAGAAAATCAATGTTCTACCTGCCCATTTAATAATTAGTTGAGCCTTTTAGATAAGTACTAAGGATTTTAATTTGAAAACAATTAAATTTGGTAATTAAAGGGAGAGGTTATATACATTTAATTTTATAGGAATTGGGCAAGAGAAGTTTAATTCCCAGCATACTATGAAATGTTCATTCCTTTCATAACTAAAGTTTTCCATTCTTCAGGACTCTATAGTTCTGAAGATTCTTTTAATTTAAGGACTGAAAAATTTGTCTAAGATAAATACATCACAAAAAATAATCTCCAACATGCAAACCTATTAATCTAAATTCTTATTGACATCCCTCCCAATTATGTGAAAGAGTTTAATATGACAACTGAAAGGACCACTTAAAATTCAGCTTCTTTGCAACCCCTAAACAATCAATTTATTAGAAGAGACCTGACTACGTAAAACAGTGCATCTTTACATCAGTTTCCCAATTCAGGATGAAAGAAAGACACATAACACACACACGTGGCTTCTGAAGAGGGGCCTCTCCCTCCCAGAATTACCCTACAAACTGAGGCCAGGTGTGTATTCCTAGATCTGCACTTTGGAGAAGAATCAAAAAGCAAGCAGTGAGACTTTCTGGAGGTCACTAAATGACATAATGACAGTCATAAAATAAAATTTAATTTTCTTTTAAAAAAAAAAAAACAGACATTTCAAAGGAAGTGTACCTTCCTCCCTGTTCCTTCCATGGGCAAATTCCTAGACTTTCTCCAAGATTTAATTCCAAAGCATCACTGCCCACTTTTCCCCCTCCCCCAAGTTTTCTCTACTCCTAACTTCCCTTCCCCTTCTCCTCCGAAGTCACCAATGTCTCTTATTTATCATTATCAGGGCTCCTACCACTCTCTACCTGATGCTGGGGTCATGCGTCTGTCACCTCTCTCCCACTCGGTCAGTTCCTTAGGGAAAGGCCTGTGTCTTTCCATATACAACAGATAAACCATAATATTTCCACACCTGAAATGAACTGCAAGGTGGAATCAGGGAGAGAAGGATACAGGCTAGATGATGCTAGGTTCCACTAGGTTTTAACTTAGAAAATCACAGTTAGAGCTTTGTTCCCCAATCAGCATCTGTGGAGCCTGCAGGATATCCAGCATTTCTGGCTCACTGCAGACCTACTGAATCAGAATCTGGACTTTCCCAGAACCCCAGTACAGACACACCTAAAAGTGGATCAGCACTCACCTAAGGAAGTGTTTCTCAAACTGTGCACTAGAACACATTAGTAGACAGTATAATTTAGTAGTTTGCATGAGCACTTTTAAAAGAAAGTAGAACAGAAAATACAGTATATAGTTCATGTTGTTCACAGTAAATATTATTTGAACTTTTACAAAAATTTAACATGAAGTTTTTACATGAAGTAAAAAGTACTTGAGTGTGTAGGTATGTGTGTTTGTGAACTACAGCACAATGTTGAATGTATTTCTACTGTTTGCTATGGCATAAAAACACTGCAAGCTGTGTGTCCAGGAGAAATCACAGAAGAATTTAAACCATTCCTGTGGTCGGGGGCCAGACCCACAGCACCTCCTCCCTCAGTACAGCAGAGACGCTGACAATAGCGGGGAAAGCTGGCTCCCTGCACAAAACCCCAGCCCACTTTTTGGTATAAAGTTGAACTAACAAGATTTAAATAAGCTTAAGCATCTAGAAAGCAAGATATTAAAACAAGGACACAGGTACAGGTTTATGACCAAGGGAACCGTTAGCTTATTCATAATCACAAAGCTGTACTTGATGGCAGGTAATAGCGGTGACGCTGAGATGCTTATAAAAAAAACATAATGTCTAATTATAATCACAGAGCCAGCTGCAGGATAAAGTTTTACAAATTCAAGTCACATACTTTGCTGAATTCACAAACTCACTTTTGAGGTTTGCCCAATTTTAATTATTTTTATTACTGGAACATAATGCTTGGGAAAGAAATCCATTGGCTGTGTTGTGACAAACTGGATCTCAGCTGTCTAATACTGGGGTCTTGTTCGTGGCCATCTGATTTTTTATGCAAAACTTTTATGTTACAGTAAAACCACATGACCAGCCCCCCACCTGTGCCAAGCAATCTGGAAGCTCCCAACTTTTTCTGATAGGGCCCTGGAGAGAGATAAGCGAGAACCTTTGCAACCTGTGCAAGAGAGATAAGCGAGAACCTTTCCTGGTTTCCTCAGGATGTCCTATAAAGAGAAATGTGCTTACTTTGCTGGTGTTACTTAATGTACTAGACACGGAGCTCTCCAGATCCACGCTGGCGGAGGGTTCTGGAAGGCCTTTGGCTTTATTACCCTACATAAAGAAAAGGCAGGTTGAGTTAGGTCCCCAGAGAGGTGGCAAAGGTATCAGCTAAAAGCAGCTTGGTCTCCTTACCTAACCTTAAAAACACACCTTCTGAGAAATGCTAAGTGTGTGTGTGTGTGTGTGTGTGTGTGTGTATACATATTGAAACCATTAACACTTCTGCCATTGTTTTTTTTTTTTTTTTCAAATAAGAAAGACACCACGGCAAATGCTTCAAGACCCCTCGTGGATGGGGCGTCTGGCAGGAAGGACAGACAAGAGGAGATGATTTGTCTACAAAGACAAGCAAGGACACAAGCGAGCCCATTCAGTGAGGCCACCCAGTCACAGTCATCACAGCTGGCCAGCTGAATGTCACCCAAACAGTGTTCTATCCCTTTGGGAGGTCTCAGACGCAGCCCCTCCCGATCCTGGTTGTGTAAAGGAACTGTTTTCAGGATCTCAGCAGATGCTTGCAAAATTCACAAAAATATTTTCAAACAAAATAAAATTTAATTTTCTTTAAAAAAATAGACATTTTAAAGGAAGTGTGTCATACAATAAAAAAACAACCATAAGATATTGCAAGCTCCAAAAAAGTGCGGAACCTTAACAGAAAATTGAACTTGGATTTCTTAAAGGTGCTATCAAGGCTGTTTACACTCATGGAAAGGGGGTACATTTCTTAAGCTCTCTCAGATCCCAGATTAGCACATATGTGAACTCTGTTATAGAGCTATAGTTGACAAACATTTTTTTGTAAAGGGCTAGATAGTAATATCCTAGGTCTTATGGGCCTATGGCATTTGTGGCAACTCTTCAACACTGTGCAAAAGCAGCCCAGAAAACAGGTAAATGAATGGACGTGGCTGTGTTTCAATAAAAGTTTCTTTACAAAAGTAGGAGGGGGTAGAATCTGGCTGATGGGCCGTCATTTGCTGCCCCTGCCATAGAGAAGTCCAGATGTCTAATGGCAGGAGCAGATAGTATCTGATTTTTTTAAAGTCGTCCCTAGTGACACCAGGGATAAAGGACCCACACTTCAGTATATCCAAGCCATGCTCTTTACAGGGACTAGCCAATAAACAGCATTCTTTAGGGAGGCAAAAAAATCCCATGAGATATAATACAAAAGAGTATTAAATAGATTTTTTTAAAACTAGGCCAAGTTAAAAACAATTTAAAATGTAGATAACATTATAAGACTGAGAAGACAGAAAAAATGTTTTATACTTTTATAATAAACATTGATAGAATAAAGGCATAGAACTGAATCTCTCTTAAAAAGCGATCTAATCAGGAGAAATTACGTTACTTACCCGGGACAGAATACTTTCTAAAGACTCTGTGAGCGACCTCTTTGCTTTGTTTTTCAGCATATCTAGCCTAAATCGGGTGGCACTGGGTGGTAATTCACTTCCAATATTCTCTGCTGGAATCTGTGATGTCTAAAAACATGAAACAGTGAAAAGTTAGGTCACTGATTGCTGTCCTCCTCCCTTTTTAAGGGAATGAAGAATCTCTAGGCCTTTTAAACACAGGCCATTCTGCTTCTGTCTGTGAGCTCATCTGCTACTCAGTGACATAGCTGCAAATCCAGGAAATAATTTTGCCTCAAAATGCTGCTTTGACTGTTCCAAACGAATTGAAGAACTGCTTTGAAGACAAGTTAAAGGAATTTAGAGCTCAGGCTCTGCAACTGCATCAGACATCTGTCATTCACTAACAGGGATCTTGTGCAAGTTTCTTACTTTTTCTGAGGCTTGTCAGTAAATGGAGACCAACAACAAGATCTCATCCTAGCACTGTGTTGCTAGGTTGAAACAGGTACAGAATCAAGCTCAGCATCTGGTACAAAGGTAGCTATTTCTGGCTTTTCACAGTAAAGCAACAACTTACCTTTGGGGGCATTTCCGAGGGTGGGGCAGAATACATTTGTCAACTGAAGAACCCCTTCCTCCTCCCCACTCTGCCCCGTCACCACTTGCTGCAGACCTCTGCACCCTGGCTCTTTCCTCACCCCACCCCTGTCATCTCCTTCATCCCTTCATTCTCCTCTGCAACCAAGCTACTCTCCCTCAACCAACCATAACACCACAGTGAAAACACAATCGCATTTGTTTGACAACCACTAAAGGAAGTTTACATTACTTATTAACAAGAGGTATGTTTAAAAAAAAAAATATATATATATATATATATATAAACACTCTACATTAAATTGTTCCTTATATGGATTGGACAATACTCTGTAAAGGTGAATTCTCACATGCTGATTCTGGAAATATGAATTGGAACCATGTAGTAAGCCAATTTCCCATAGATAACAACTCCCCCAGGACTCTAATCCCCAACATATTCTCTGATGCGTCATTATAGATCTCAGGCGTAAAGAAGAGTGTACAGACTAATATAACCAACCCCTTTGTACCACCCACGTGGCTTTGGCCAGGTTGGTGTTTGCCCAGTGTTGAGAACTGTGAGGTGCGTGGCTCTGGAGCTCAATGCCAGGCAAACGCATCTCTGCTCTTCCCAAGCTGTAAGGCCCTGGCCAGGTCACTACCTGCTGCCCCTCTCAGTCCCCCACCTGCAGCCTGAGGACACACGACGGGCTTTCCTCACGGACTTGTCATGAGATGTACATGGACACACATTAAGACATTCAACACCCATCAGCTGCCAGGACTATCACCTGTTCTCTCTGTGAGCTTCCCAGTTTCAATAGGAAGACACAGTTGAAGTTTCCCGATCATAGGTCCTGCTCCCTAACCCTCTTCCCTATCGGTCATATACAGAAATGACTACTTTCTTGAATTTGGGGGTTATCATACGAACTTATGTTTTGTACTTTTACAAGTATGTATGTAATCAGAAAATAGTGGTTTACATGCAATTGAAACTAAATGCAAATTAGCTTTTTTCTTTCAATGTTCTTAAGACTTTATCATGTTGACAACAAATGTTCTTTGATTTACTCACTTTAGCCAGAGTGTATTATTTCACCACATAACCCAATTTATTCATGTTTCTGTTGTTAAGCATTTATTCTTTCTTTGGCTCTTACAAAGGAGTCTGCAATGACCTTTCTTGTACAGACCTCCTAATACATATAAATACATATACACTCATCTGAAAGGCTTGCAAATAAATAATTAGCAATTTCCTTGCTGGGGTCACTGAGACTGTGTACCTTCAGCTATCCCAGGTTTTATCAGGCTTCTCTTCCCGAAATGGCACCAATTCATATTTCTATAATCAGCATGTGACCATTCATCTTTACAGAGTATTATAAGATTTTTTAAATTTCAGCCAATCTGATGGGGATAAAATGTTTTCTTAATATACCTTTCCCTCATTCCTACTGTTATTGACCATTTTTTAGTTTATTTGGTAATCTGCTTTCCAAAGACTCTACATGTTCTTTGAAATAATGAAATTCTGAATTCACCAATGAATATTATACATTTTTCAAGGCATAAAAGAGAAAGAAAAGATTCTGGTAAGAGCAACATTTGGCTTTGTCAAATTATCCATAGTTTAATTCTATGAGAACTAAAACACGCATCCAAAGAATGGGTAGGAAGCTCAGAAATTCCTTTGGAGGGTGCAGTGGCTCACACCTGTAATCCCAGCACTCTGGGAGACTGAGGAGGGTGGACTGCCTGAGCTCAGGAGTTCAAGACCAGCCTGAGCAAGAGCAAGACCCCCATCTCTAAAAATAGCCAGCCACTGTGGTGGGCACCTGTAGTCCCAGCTATCAGGGAGACTGAGGCAAGAGGAAAACTTAGGCCTAAGAGTTTGAGGTTGCTGTGAGCTATGATGACACCACAGCACTCTTCCCAGGGCAAGAGAATAATACTCTGCCTAAAATAAATTAATAAAAATAAAAAAAATTATTAAAAAGATAAAATAAAAATAGAAAAATCAGTTGTATGTTTGAGTGGGCACCAGTAGTCCCAGCTACTCAGGAGATTGAGGAAGGAAGATTGCTTGAGCCCAGTAGTTTGAGGCCACTATGAACTATGATGATGCCACAGCCCTCTACCCAGGGTGACATAGTGAGACTTTACCTAACAAAAAAGAAAAAAAGAAAGAAAGAAAGAAAGAAATTCCTTTGGGAAGGGTGACTCTCACTTAACTGTGTTTCCGCACTACTGAGCCTACTCTGGACATATAATTTACTCACCCAAGGATAAGTAAATGAGCAATGACGGCCGTGTAGGCCCATGAGAAACACACAGCTGAGTTAACAGAGACTCCCTAACAAACTCGACTAGTCGTCCCTACTCACTGTGCACCATGGGCAGGGCTTTGCTAGTTGCAACTGCTCCTGCACCATCACTTAACGAGGGTAACAGCCTGTGGAGACGGGAGGCAGCCTCCGGGGCAAAGGGTTCAGGTTTAGGATTAGTTACCCACGAAGGGCCCCCGGGGCCTGCCTTAGACTGGGGCCAGTTTACTCACAAAGTGGAAAAGCCACAGAACTGCTTCTATGCTCATAATAAAGTTTCCATAAGATGGAAGCAAACTGAATTGTTTTGATATATACAGAAAATACTGGCCAAAAGATTATAACACTCAGCATCAGTTAGCAGCCCCAACTTACCGTGTTTCCCCGAAAATAAGACCTACCCCCAAAATAAGCCGTAGCAGGATTTCTATGCATTTGTTAAAGATAAGCCCTAGCCCAATAATAAGACCTAATGATAGGTACATCATAGCCACGCCCTGCATTTCAGCGCAGAGCAGTAAGGAAGACTGGAATACCCTTCATCTGCCACAGCTCCTTTCTCCCAGCCGTTGGTTCATGCGCCATGCCCAAGTGCGCGGGAGGTAACCACAGTCGCAGGCATCCTATTGCGCACCTGCGAATGGCTAGGGCAAAGGATTTTACGCATCACTAGCACCAGCCCCACCAACAAGGTCGGCTCCCCCTGTCAGGTTCCAAAAGAAGATGACTTAACTGTATTTGAATAAATGTAAATTGTTGTATTATACTTAATAAAAATAAGACATCCCTGAAAATAATGAGAAAAAATAAATATAAGACAGTGTCTTATTTCTGGGGAAACATGGTAGATGAGAATACTAGGCCTGAAAAATCGATCTTTGTGTACTTAACTCAATGCCACTTCTGCTCCCCTCAAACATTTCCTGTGTCTCTGACCATAATTCAAATATAGTTGAAAACAATTTGCATTTAGAAAATAACATACTCTTATTTATCTTAAAATAAGCATCTAGAGGTTTCTCTCCGTAAAGATGCTACTTGTTCTTAGATCATAATTTCTACTTTGGGGGCTCCCTGGTGAATTCCACTGCAGTCATCCCATTGCCGATACTTCCATAGATGGGTGAGCTCGAAGCACAAAAGTCTAGGGAGAAATCTAAATGTTGATGCCACACTGAAATTCTCAGCTCAGAACCCACCATCCCGTGTCGGCAAATGTATCTACCGTAGCTTTATTCTAATAAAGCAGCTCAGATATCCACCAAAAAAAAAAAATAGAGAAGGTGTGATGTTAATACAATGAAATAAAGAACAAACTGCTGCTACTTTCAACAGCACGGATGATCTCAGAAACATTGTGCTAAGTATTACAGAAGTCAGAACGGAGAGAAAAGAAAGCATCATCATACTGTATGATCCCATTTATAAGCAGTTCTAGCAACTAACCCAGCAAAACTAACCTAGGGTAAAAAAACAAGAACAAAACAGGGGCTGCCTGGGGGAAGAGACAGTGAGGACTGACAGGAAATGGAATAAGGGGGTAATTTCTAGAGTGATGGAAATATTCTGTATTCAGACAGGGGGTTGAGCTGCCCAAATGTAGCAGTTCCCAAGACTCGACAGACGTCACCCTGAAGTTCTGCCTGTTGGAGATACTGATCTTTCAGGCTGAGACAGCACGTAGGGTATCACCACTGACCCTAGAACGCACTGAGGACAATGTTCATGGTTCCTGGGTCCACTTTTGAAAGCTGGTGGTCACAGAAGTTCTTTGCCAAAATCATGGTTCTTTCTACCTCTGTCTAGGTCACTTAACCACAAATTTCAAAAGCTACAGGAACTTTTAGGTGCAACAAGAAGGTAATAAAATCCATGTGGTTAAACGATCTGACAGCAGAAAATGTGAGCAGTGAATCTCAAGGCTACGAAGTACTGCTATGTTGAAAAACCCTCTCCGCAGAGCCCATGAGGGTGTCCAGCCTGGGCAGCGCCAACCACATCCAGGGATCTGGGTAACCTGTTTACAGACACGGACAGGAGCCTGTTGGGTCACAGAATATGGAGGGAGCCCAAGCGAAAGTGCTACCCAGATGCCAGTTCTGCTTGTGAGGCTGAGTCTCTTTCACATTAAATTCACTGATGTTTTGAAAATGGAAAATAAAGGACTGATCTATGCCCCAAATTATAAAAATATTATCCTAGTTCATAAAAATGAGTTTCCAGTTAGGTCAAAACTTTCTATTTGCCATAAGTACTCAAAATCTTTACTGAAGGAAGACTTTCCATATCCCACAAATGCTCCATTCCCCTTTCTAGCAGTTACACATTATTTCAGAATTATCAATTCCCTGTTAGAACAAGTCACATTGACTCAAGGGGAAAAAAATAAAAAGATCAGAACAGGGAAAAAGGTAATAGTGGCAAAGAGGAAAAAAGGAAGGAAAAGGGGAAAAGAAATAGGTTGAAAAGAGAAGTGGCAAGTTAACTAAACACGTCAGAGTGGGTAGGCCACCCACAAGAGAACAGCAGAGGTGACATCATTGGAACTGCAACATCATCTTAAGGTCCAAGCTGGGACGAGAGGAACAGCCACAAACCCAGGGCAAAAACCCAAACCCACCCAAATATGTTGGCTATAGGAGCACTGCTAAGGCACCCTGTGGTTGGCAGATGAGATAAAAAACCAGGTTGGACACCGTACATGAGCTCTAAGGGGTCAGGAAAGGCACAACTGCCAAAGCCAACGGGAAAGCAGAAATCTAAGGAGGAGCGCTGCGAAGTGTGAACTCAGGGGAAACTGCAGGGTGGGTGTCAGTACCAGAAGGCGAGGGCCACTGCGGGGCAGAGAATGTGAACGTGCCATCATAACCCCCACTCCACAAGTGTTCCAAAGGAGAAAAGCACATACTTTGGGAAAACCAAAGAACTGGAACATCCTTCACTGATTTTCTCTAGATTTTCTGACCAACAAATAACTTTAGCAAATATAAAAATATGTATGTTTTGATCATTCTTAATGATTTATTATGAACGGGGCCTCACATGGGGTCTAAAAGACATGGGAACACGGTCTGTGGTACCATGTAGTAGACTGAGTTCCAACACTGAAGTTCTCTGAAAGCAGAAGTCTGCAAGGAGCCACTCAGGTTCTAACTTGGGATCCCACAAAGAGAAAAGCTCAGCAAGACCAGCGGACAGCAGGATGGGGGGCAGACTGTACCTCCGTCAGGCAAAATGGCATCTAACCTGGACCGCACCTGACTTGTCAGTAGTACTATCTTATATTCACGTGACATTTACTATCACAAACAACTTTCAGGTACTTTATGTAATTCCCAAGGCAGAGGTACAATGACATTACACAAGGAGAAAGGTAAGGTGACAGACACCTTTGCAGCCCAGCCTGGCAGTATCTGCTCTTAAATTTAATTCTTAGGGCTCCAAGCCTGTCCTCTTACCAGAGCAACTGCTCCCCTCCCACCACAATGCAGACAGAAACTTACCTTCTCCAAATAACCTAACACTCCCCAGTTTTCCCTGTATGTGCAACAAAAGCAAACAAAGGGGGACAAAGGAGGTTCAGAGCTTCAGGAAACCTTCAAGACTTTGTTTACACAGTGCCCCACCAAAGATTATGAGATCAAAGTGCCATACCTGCTTTGTGTCCCCAATATGGACATGTTCTTTTTGTTTATCTTCATATAAGCATCTCAGAAAAGAAATAATCAATTCATTCTCTCGCTGCTCATTTCTTGGTCTTAATTTCTTTTAAAAAAAATCAGAAACAGGTTAGATTACATTTATTTTCATTGTCAACAAAATCGCTAAGCCATCCATCCCTTTGGAAATGCTAGCAAGCTTCCATCTACTAACCAGTGCTTTAACCCAATCATCTCACTAGGGGGCACCAATGATCCTAAAAGTGGAGATAAATTTTTTTTAAGTGGAGCCAAGGGTCAGATTTAGCTTTTGCTCTTTGACATCCTCATACCTAAAATAAATTTTTAACATCAGATAAAGACATAGTCAAAATATTTAACAAGTTGAAAACAGAAGTAAAAAACAAAATCTATGTAAATGTCCAGAGGTCAGGAGCCATAATGACCTCACATTTATAAACTCTTACATTTAGGGAACTGGAAAGGAGAAACAGCAGCCAGATTCAGGGTCACAGTTTCCGGGGCCAAACGTGTTCATCGTGCAGCACCTTACGAAGCCCCGTGGGTATGCACTGCTACATACAACGTCCTGGTATGTATATACTCATTGCTCTTTTCTTTTTAAAAATTCTCCCTGTGTCTTTTAGCTTCTAGACAGGGTAGTGGCAAAGCAGGCTGGAGCAGGGGTCAGGACACACAGGTTCTAGTCGCTGTGCAGACGTGTGATCCAAATCACTGACTCCTGACTTCCCCATCTGTCCAGTCCCCTCCAGCTCCCAAATTCCTTGAATTTGACATGTCAGTCAGAAGGAATTTTTAAAAGGTCACCTCATTTAATGTATTATGTTCCCTAAATACAGTAAAAATAAAATGAATCATTCTGGAGATACACAAAGCTTTCTGTCTTTGAAATATATCTTTTTTCATATCAACAATTATCCATTACCCTGTTCCTCCTCTCTCCCTACTCCAAACTTTCAGCCTAACCTTTAAAATGAAGTTGGGGTGCAATAATTAAATTAACTACACAACCATCTGGGTCTGGGTCAACAAGATTCTTGGTGCCCTTCTTCCCCAGCTAACTAAGGAACAGTGACTTTGCCCTGCATGTCACTGGCATTAAAAGTGACGGTCTTTGATATGTATGTACAGCTCTTACTGTGATTCAGTTCTAAAAAGCTTGTAATTTCTGGTTTTATTTCCTGTCAAACCTAAGATTTGTTTTAGTGGAAGTGCTTTAAAATATCTGAGAGAGGCTCGACGCCTGTGGCTCAAGTGGCTAAGGCACCAGCCACATACACCTAAGGTGGCGGGTTCGAATCCAGCCCAGACCTGCCAAACAACGACGGCTGCAACCAAAAAACAGCCAGGCGTTGTGGCGGGCGCCTGTGGTCCCAGCTCCTTGGGAGGCTGAGGCAGAAGACTCGCTTGAGCCCAGGAGTTGGAGGTTGCTGTGAGCTGTGATGCCATAGTACTCTACCCAGGGGGACAGCTTGAGGCTGTCTCAAAAATAAAATGAAATAAAATATCTAAGAGTATAGATTGTTGATGGTTATCCTTTTTATTATTTTCTGATTTTATTTTATTAGGTTCATAAATGTACACTGCCAGAGTTGAAAAAAAAAAAAAAGTGAAGGTAACACTAACCCAGACCTTCTGATGTGTCCTCTCTTAAAAAAAAAAAAAAGTAAAGGGAAATTTATTCTGTTAGTCAAGAAAAAGATAGTAAATGAAGAGAAAAGTCTGTTTTAATTGAGGACTTAATTCATTCAAATTTCACATTAGATGGATGCTAAAGCAGACATTCTCAACCTGGATTCCAGACCATGAATCCTGGTGTTTCAAAGGCTTATATGGTACACGCAACTAGTGGATTTTTCTAGAGAGTTTCAGTTAGATCCTCAAGAAAGTAGAGTGGCAGCAGTCAAGTGTCACCATCCCAACTTAATACCGCTAGCTTACAAGAGTTTTACGGACATAGTAAGTCCAAAAGTCCACAAAAAAACAGGAAATCTCATCCATTGCAGGTGGGGATGCAAAATGGGACAGCTACATTGGAAGACCACTTGGCAGTTTCTTATAAAACTGAACACACTCCTAGCACACTATCCAGCAAACTGCCCTCCTTGGTATTTACCCAAATGAGCTAAAAACTGAATGCCCTCGCTAAAACCTGTACACAAATGTTTCTAGCAGCTTTATTCATAATTGCCAAAACTTAGAAGCAACTAAGATGTCCTCTAGTGAGTGGATGGAAGAGCAGACTATGTCCCTCCAGACGTGGAAAGTTATTCAGCAACACAAGGAGAAGGAAAAGAACCGTGCAGAGGAACCTCAGGGCCACTGCTGAGTGAAAGAGCCACTCTGAAAACACTGCAGGGTCACATTAGGTGACATTCTGGAAAAGGCACAACTGTGGAAACAGTCAAAAGACCAGGATTCCAGGGGTTAGGGGAGGGAGGGAGGGTGAAGAGGGAGAGCACAGTGTAAGTGGTGAGGCGCTGCCATATGATCTGTCATGAGGGACATGTGATGTTATGCATTTGTCACAAGCATAGAGTGTTTGACACCATCAGTGAACCCAAGTATAAACTGTGACCTTCAGTTAATAATAATTCATCAAATACTGGCTCATCAACTATAACAGATACACCAGCTAATGCAAGATGCTAAGGTAACATCTTCCATTAGGAGAAAGTGGGGGGGGGGGGTAGGAGACACTGAAAAATTACATGGAAATTCTGTACTGTCTACTCAATTTTTCTGTAAACCTAAAACTGCTCTTTAAAAAACAGTCTACTATTTTAAAAAATGGCCCAGGGAAGCAGACAGAGATTACACAAGTCCCCTGAGAAGCAGCACACACCAGAGGGTTGACCCATCCTTTCTACACTTGTCTCTAATTAAACCTTTGGGCTACCCTCACAAGAAATGGGATCCAGCCTCGAGAAATCCTTCATAATTGTCTATTTCAAAATATCAAAAAAAGGCTAAGCGTGAAACCATGAGAAGGACTCATACATTTTCCCTCACACAGACATGAAAAATCTGTTCCAATAGGCAGAAAATGAAACCACAGCTAAGCACAATGTGCCGCCATAGCTGCTTTTCATTAACAATTGAAGCAAAGAACCAGACACTGTGTCGCACAACTTGTTAAACATCACAGGAAAAGTCACTAAGACAGAGAAATACCCATTTTCAGTGTCATACAAAGTCAAATAATAAATCTTTACTTAAAGTCATTTTGGAGTGTGATGAGAGGGTACCTTTCTATGGAGTTCAAAAACATTACCATGGTGCCACCCCCCAAAACTTCTTGTGTGGCATCACCATTCTCCATAGAGGTAAATCATTACTTAAAGGTGGTTTAATTTGATAAACTAGTCAAGAATAGAATGAGGCATTAAGTTTGGGAACATCACTTTACAATCACAAATGAGCTTGCTTGCTCAAAATTAATCTATGGAGTCAGAAGTCACCACAGGGTACCTGGGGAGCAGAAATGAGGCAGGACTCTGAGCAATGTCTAATTGTTAATCTTGGCACTGCCGCACAGGTGTATTAGCCTTGCAAAACCTCCTTTCACCGTACACCACTGATTTGTGTGCTTCTCTATTAGTGCATTACACTGCAGTTCTAAAAAGAATAATACAAAACAATTAGTTGCCCGTTAAAAGTAACAAATGTAACCTCATTACATGTTTCTTAACCTTATTTCCTTGAGAGCCTTATAAATTTCTACAAAGGCAATTAAAAAACAGATTTCCAGCAGGGTGCAGTGGCACGCCTACAGTGTCAGCCACTCAGGAGGCTGAGGCTGGAAGCTCACTTGAGGCTAGGAGTTCAAGGCTGCACTGAGCTATACTCACGCCCAAGAATAGCCACTGCACTCCAGCCTGGGCAACACAGTGAGATACCACCTCTAAAAAAAATTTAACAATAAATAAATTTCCAGCACTGACTAAGGAATACTATAGTGCTGAGAAAGAGTATGGTCTCCTAAGGAAGCTACTTCAAAAGACAATGATGGCTCGGCGCCTGTGGCTCAAGCGGCTAAGGCGCCAGCCACATACACCTAAGGTGGCGGGTTCGAATCCCCAGCCCAGGCCCGCCAAACAACAATGATGGCTGCATCCAAAAAATAGCCGGGCGTCGTGGTGGGCGCCTGTAGTCCCAGCTACTTGGGAGACTGAGGCAGGAGACTCGCTTGAGCCCAGGAGTTGGAGGTTGCTGTGAGCTGTGATGCCATAGTACTCTACCCAGGGGGATAGCTTGAGGCTCCGTCTCAAAAAAAAAAAAAAAAGACAATGTTCACTTGGATATGATGTCCTGAAATCTTAAAAAAGAAATTATAATCAAATTTTATAAGAAATAATTTTAAAACCATGGATAAAGGCCAGGCATAGTGTTGGTTCATGCCTGTAATCCTAGCACTCTGGGAGGCTGTGAGAGGACTGCTTGAGCTCAGGAGTTTGAGACCAGCCAAAGCAAGAGTGAGACCCCATCTCTACTAAAACTAGAAAAACTAGCCAGGCATTGTGGCAGGAGCCTATAGTCCCAGTTACTTGGGAGATTAGGCAAGAAGACTGTTAGAGCCCCCAGAGTTTGAGGTTGCTATGAGCTATGATGACACCATGGCACTCTACCCAGGGTGACAGAGTGTGACTGCCTCAAAAAAAAAAAAAAGAAAAAAGTTTGCAAAAACCAACTAAGTTGACATTTATCTTCAGAAGCTAAAAAACCTCTCTGACCATTAACCTTTAACTTGTGAAGTCCTATTGTTTAATAAATTAACAGTACCTACTGAGTATCAATCTACTTGATTTATCTACTCAGTATCCACTTAACTCATTCCCTGAAACACACTCACACAGATTAGGAGAATTAGACTTTGAGACATCTCAATTTCTGGCCCTTCCTGGTCCTGACGGCAATGTCTCATCCTGAAGACAACCCACGTAGACTTAGCGCCCTCAGCTGGCCGAGGAGCAGCATGAAAGAGCAAGACCTCCATGGGGTCATCCTCACATTGGCCGGATTCGATACATTTGAAAGAAAATTATACATTTCAAAATGCTCATGAATAAAAAGGCTACTTTGCAGTGTGTTATGCCCACAGGCCCGTCTGGCACCAAGTTCTCTCTGCATAGGTAAGTCAGCTTGTTTACAGAAGCAATAATCTCAAGTATCATTTACATAGTTTGGGGGATTTTTTTTTTTTTTGAGACAGTCTCACTGTCTCCCTCAATAGAGTGCTGTAAAATCACAGCTCACAGAAACCTCAAACTCTTGCCTCAGCCTCCCAAGTAGCTGGGACTAAAGGCACCTGCCACAATGCCTGGCTATTTTTAGACATGGGGTCCTACTCTTGCTCAGGCTGGTCTCGAACACCTGAGCTCAAGTAATCCATGTGCCTCAGCCTCCCAGAGAGCTAGGACTATAGGTGTGAGCCACTGCACCCAGACTACATGGTTATTATCCATTTCTTTTTCTTTATGGTTGAGTTCCACTTTTTTGTTATATTACATTTTCAAGGGTCGGGCACCATGGCTCACATCTATAATCCTACCTAAGGCCAAGGAGGGTGGACTGCCTGAGCTCAAAGGTCCAGACCAGTTTAAGCAACAGCGAGACCCTGTCTCTAAAAATAGCTGGGCATTGTGGTGGGTACCTGTAGTCCCAACTACTTGGGAGGATGAGGCAAGAGTATCACTTAAGCCCAAGAGTTTGAGGTTGCTGTGAGCTATGATGCCACCGGTACTCTATCAAGGGCAACAAAGTGAGACTCTGTCTCAAAAAAAAAAATTTGTTTTCACTTACAAAATCTCTGAATATAGTATGTATATTCTTACATATATCACTTACATACATTCTTATGTCTATCCCTTAAAAAATCTCTGAATATGATATGTATAGTATGTAACATTAATTGCAGTGAAATTGTAAATTTGCTCTTAGAGACTTTCAGAAATAAATTTCCCTCCTGGAAAGACTGTACAAAAAAAAAAGTTTACCATTCTATTTATAAAAGGACTCTTGAAACTGCAAATCCACCTTTTTTTATGACCTTTTGAAGTATATGATTTTCAAACACATTAGCAGGTACTGTTAACTCAAAGGAAGCCAAGGACTTGGTTTATTATAAAACCAAGAATGGTCATTGAGGAAATAATTCAATAAGACCATCACTAAGTCATTAGAAAAAAGACTCACATCAAATTGGTATCATTCAAGGAAAAGTCAAGTTTACAATGATGGGGGACAAAGTAGCAACTGCCTTCTCAAAGCCAGTGAACAGTATGACTTCCCTGTGGTGTCACAGCAAGGAGAACACAGAAACATCTAGAACAACACACAGAAGCCCCGGGACATTAACTGAATGGTGTCTTCCTTCAGTGAATCTAAGTCCTATGTTCTTTTTTTCCTAAAGTCTTTTGGCCATAAGTTACTTGGTGTCTAAAAACCTGCATGGATTTAGGAACCCCATTTCTGCAGAAGAAAATTTTGCTTATTATCTACATTGATTCATCACACTGTTTTTAGGGATCTACATGGTGTTATCTAAACAAAAAAGAAAAACCACATTAGGGAAGGGAGATTCATCTTCTACGCTTGCTGAGAAGTGACTTGATAGCTCTAACACAGTCCAAGTGAGGCAGCATTAGAGAAAAAGGCCCCAGCTTCAACTGTAAATGCATAAACAATCAGAAGCAAACTGCCCATTTCTAAATCCCAAGTACAACGCACATTATATTTATCTAAGAGTCTTGTATACTTAGAACTCTAAAGGTCTTTCAAGAAAAAATGAAGTAGCATCTCTCAAGTTGATTCAGAAGAAAAGAAAATTTAAAGGCAATTGAAAATTGTGAAAATTACCCTCAAGGCCAGGGGAATCCAACCTGCAGCCTGGGGGCCGTGGGCAGGTTATTTCAGGCCTGTTTTGCTTCTCTGTGGTGTCAGATAACGTGAAAAGTCTCCTTGAACCTTTTTTTTTTATTCATCAGCTGTCATAAGTGTTTGTGTACTTAATGTGTGGCCCACAACAACTCTTATTCTCCCAATATGCAGCAGAGAAGAAAAAAAGATTGGACACTCTTGCCCGAGGCTATTTGCTAACTAAAAAAATCTTTCTATGATTGCTTTCTAAAAACATACGCCAATTCCACTGTAGAAACAAAACAAAGGAGTAAGAGAAGAGCTCTAACATGTGATTTTAAAGAAAAAGACAATCCTTATTTTTTTTTATTCTAACAGAAAACAGATTATGGGTCCTATCTGTACAGTCCTTCCCCAGTGAAGTAGAAGAACTCAGAGCGCACCCAGCTGCCAGCCTTCTAGTTTTGTTTAATGAAACTTCTATTTGGAAAGCATGCTGACCAACTCCCACCCCAAAAGAGGGATTTATTCTTTGTTCTGATGTGCTCCCCTCCCTAGAAAAGTGCCTAGAAACCATCGAAAATGCCCCTTGGCTAACACAGACATCAAATTTCTATGAGCTCATTAAAGATTCATAATGAACAGACCAGAGGCATGCCAGCACACACAGTATGGTTTCCCTGAGATACACCACATCCAAATGCAAGGACCAAAGCGGCTTCCAAGTTTACTGAAGAAAGCAAATGAGCTCAGATTTTGTTTAGTTTTTTGAGGTTTTTTTTTTCTTTTTTGGCTCAATATTGAATACATGTAGGGCTCTAAGTAGGTAACATGACCTAAATTTATTTCAAAATTGAAAAGAAAAAGAAAGAGGATGACCAATTATGTTCAAGTTCACATACACACTGTCTCCCACAATTGGGGCTGAAATCCTGAATGGGTGGGGGCTGGCAGAAGTTTCTCATGAGGCAGATAAGGGCATGTGGACCAAAGTCCAGGTCTTCCATCTCCCAAGCTGAGGCCTTCTCCACTTTAAAACTAAAATTTCCTTTCCCTTTTTCCAACATAGGTGGTTAAGAGAAAGGCTTCCTGGTTTTAGTCACTTTCACTATCTAAGCTAAGACCTGATGTGAATATGCAACTCTGACCCAGTCCCTCTGTGGACAGTGAGAGCTTAAACCAGCGATTCTCAACCTGTGGGTCGCAATCCCCAGGAACTGTATCAAAGGGTCATGGCATTAGGGAAGTTGAGAACTACTGGCTTAAACCAACAGGAACTCAAGATCCTTGCCTCCTGGCTCAGGCAACACTGGGGTTGATATTCTGCATACATAACATTTCATAGCTAAGCTTTCAGCCTTTTCTTTCCTTCTAGAGATGAAAAACTTGCACTGTACCTGAATCTCCTCAAAAATAGTCGCCTGCTCCTGATTCGTTAACGTTGTCAGGTGCTTTTGCAGTTCTAATTTGGTTTTAGAAGAATTCATTCCTATTAAGAGAAAACAAAGGACATGAAAAATAATCTCTATGTGTAAGTCACGAGGTACAGCATTCACCTGCTGCACACACATCCCTTAACATTCTTACCTACCCAGAAATGCTAATCAATAACGCCGTGACGCTACCATCGTCAACATTTCTTAACTGAGCTCTGATGCATAAGATACTGTATACATACTAAACCTTAATCTGCAATTTATTTAATTATTGCACCAATCTGATGATGAGGGTGTTATTAGTATTATCCCCATTTTACAGTTTAGGAAACTGAGGCCCTCAGACCTTCTATAATTTCCAATGACCACCAAGTCCAACACTCTACCTTAGATTTGGGGGGTTTCAAATTACTTTCTCCAAGTTAAAACACCTCAGACAATCAGAATGTTCTCCTTAGAAAATGATAAATTCTTGCATTATATGTAAACATGACACTTTTTTTATTTATTTATTTATTTTGCAGTTCTTGGCCAGGGCTGAGTTTGAACCCACCACCTCCAGCATATGGAGCCAGCGCCCTACTCCTTTGAGCCACAGGCACTGCCCAACATGACAACTTTTTTTTAAGAAAAAACTACCTGGTTTGAAGACTGACCCACGTTTTTCTCCCAAATGTTATAGGTTCCCTTTACTTAAAATGCACTCATGTGGCTAACGTTTATTTTTACCACATGCTTATTACTAGGCCTCAGACTATTTAGTTAACATTACAAAGAGTAGTTCTGAAGAAAAGTTACAAAAAGCAAAGTCATTATGTAACTTCGGTGCCTGTTAGAATCTGATACTTTCAGAAGTTCTTTCCCTACCCAAACAGCTCAGAGCCAGTTTTGCCTTTTCTCGATATCCAGAGGTCAATGTCACACACGTGGAGAAGATTTCTAATGAAAGGATTTGCTGACCCAACCATGCTGAAAAACAACTACACTGGTTACTCCTCTTCCAGGGGCACCTGTCCTCTCACCCACTGCCGCTCCCTTCTCCTCATCCACAGAGGGTGAGCCCAGGGGCAGAGCTACGCCAAGGTCTTGCCGGAAGAACAGTGCTGGACGTGGCCACATAACACTAAGGATAGCCAGAGGGAAGCCTGGGGGCCAGTGACTTGTCTGTAGGGACTTGGAAGCCACGTCTTTATTTTATACATGAATTTGCTGAGGTCCACAGAAGCCAGGTGCCTTGCCGAAGGTCAGGAAGCCAACCAGCCACCAAGCCTGCCCCAACGTCCAACCCTTCCCACTGCCACGGACATCCACTTAGCAGGCTGTGGCAGAGGCTGGTGTCCCTCTCAAACTCTCAAACTGTTGCAGCTAACTCCACTTCCAGAAAGATGTTCTTCCTCTCCCCCTCCGTTTTTTCTTTTAAACTCGTGAAAACTCTCAGAAGCTACCCTAACAATTATAGCCGATATTTCTTAAGTGATTGCTATCCACTTTGCTCAATATTTTATACTTAATCTTCAAAATAATCCTTGAAATTTTTTTTTTTTTTTTTTTTTAGGAAGCCCAATGTAGAAAACACTGAGGCGTGTCAATGTCAAAGTCAAGTGTTTTGTCCAAGGACATCAAGTTATTTAAAGGACACAGAATCTGAATGGCGTCTGTTTGCCTCTAGCAACCAGACTCTCAGGCACTCCCCTGCCTCTCCGGACACAGAAGCCACCCAATCCTCCGGTGGCTAAGACAGGACAGTGTTCAAAGTTGGGGTAAGTGCAGAAAGGATAGCTGGGCAGTCTGAGTGCAGTTCAGTAATCTTCTGGATGACGCAGGAAAGCCTGTGCTCTTCTCACAGCAAACCAGGGAAACAGACACAAGGCTTTCCTGCGTCAACCACTTAAATGTTGAAACAAAATAGAGTTGACATTTCTGAATAAAATAAGCACTCAAAATCCCTCCCAACACAAGGAGGATGTTTCTGACACAGAATAAGCATCTTATTTTGGAAAACTGTATTGAAAACACTTGTACGTGGGGACTACACCCCAGTTCCCAAGAAGAGCAGACTAACTATGCACTCTGAGTAACCTCAGGTGAAATCAGGAGACATAGGTAGGAAAAGATCCTTGGCCAATTTCCTCCAGCCTTTCCTCAGGATGCCTCGGTTCATCCCCAACTACAAACAGCTGGTCTCACTCAGGACCCAGCACCCTCCACATGGATTTTCACCACCTTTAGCCACTTGTGGGTGGTCTCTACACAGAAGTCTCCCCTCAGAGCCCCCAAGAGATGCCATAAGGGCTTATGGAGGGAATGGAGGAACAGTGCTGAAAATGTAACCAGCAAAGGAATAATACCCCAATGCCGACCCCTGCCAGCTGCCACTGTCAGTGTGGCCCCCTCACATGGCTGTGCTGAGAAGCTCTTATTAGAGGGAGCGCTGATGAATGACTTTGCTTTCATGGAAGAAAATTTGTTCTGGGAGCAAAAGAAAATCTCAGTTCCACTTTTTTTTTTTTTTTAATAATTCATTCTGGTAATTCCCAAAATGCTCCTTCAAACTTTAAAGTAAGTAAAATAGGCCGGGCATAGTGGCTAACGCCTATAATCCTAATGCCTCTCCTACTCTTGAGAGGCCAAGGTGGGTGGAATACTCGTTCAGGAGTTCGAGACCAACCTAAGCAAGAGTGAGATGCCATCTCTACTAAAAACAGATAAAAAACAGTCGGGTATTGTGGCCAGCACTGTAGTCTCAGCTACTCAGGAGGCTAAAGTAAGGGGATCACTTGCACCCAGGATGACAGAGTGAGACTCTGTCTCAACCAATCCATCAGCCAATCAAGTAAGCAAAATACTATTTGAACACCAGTGGGTTGTACATAGTTCAAATACAGAATCAGGTACAACTATATTTCTTATACACTGCAAGTGTATTTTAGAGTGGACAGTCCAGCGAAATCAACATGTACAGTATTATTTTATAGATTTGGGGACATAACTTGACTACATCAATGGATTAAGAAACATCACACTGGCCCTCCCACAGTTGACAGAGTTTTTGGTTAAACCTTAACTTCCTGTTAGAACTATTCTTACAGGAAAAAAAAAAAAAAAAGAACTATTCTTACAGGAACATACAATGAGTTTTAATAAGCCACTTACCAGGGAGGCAATAATAAAAGGCAACAGACTCTAAAACGGTTCATAAAATAATCATCTTCTCTCCTACAGATGCCTTGAATAATGTGTGATCTATACCTTTAGAAATACTTCCCAGGATGAGTGCATTGGCTCATGCTGTAATACCAGCACTTGGGAAGGCCAAGATGGGAGGATCCCTTGAGGCTAGAAGACCAGCCTGGCCAAAATAGTGAGACCCCATCTCTAAAAAAAATTTTAAAATTAGCTCAGTGTGGTAGTACATTCCTGTAGTCTCAGCTACTCAGGAGGCTAAGGCAGGAGGATTGCTTGAGCCCAGGAGTTTAAAGCTGGAGGGAGCTAGGATTACACTTGTGCATTCCAGCCTAAGCAACAGAGTAAGATTCTATATCTTAATAAAAAAAAGGAATGCTTGTCATCTTGTAAGTAACACAGTAAAACATATTCTCACCAGACTTTTAATTTCACTATTTAAGAATGTTTTTACATTAATGGGGTTTTCTGCCTTGGTTGGATTTTATCAGGTAAAAGAGGAATTACAGCAGCAAAATCCCTACCCTGATTAAGCTTTTCAGCCGCAACTTTCTGAAAGCTAAGCCAAAACAAAGAGAGATTTATCAACTGGAACTCTGGAGGCATTCCAGTTCCTGTAGATCCTGAACTGCTTTATCGTCAAGGCCAAAGCCATTGCTAGCTTTTTAATAAGCTCTTAAGGGACATTTCCGTCATCATTTACCTTATCTTGACAACCACTAAGAAAAGGGCTAGTGATCCTCTCAGTTGGGAACCCCAGTAAACCAAAACCGTTCTTATTCCCAGATATATTTTGTATAATGTCAGCAAATAACAACAACTTGGAAAACAGTCAAAAATATTAATCATGTTTCTTCATTTTAAAGAGCATTTGTAATGCCACAAGTGAACTTTCCCAGACCTTGAGATATCAATTATTAATTTATCTCACTTAAAAAGGGAAACCAGATACCCCTTCACATATATTTGGATGGTTATCATCAAAAAAACCCCAGAAAATACGGTGGTGCCTGTGGCTCAAAGCAGTAAGGCGCCAGCCCCATATGCCGGAGGTGGTAGGTTCAAACCCAGCCCCAGCCAAAAACTGCAAAAAAAAAAAGACCTCAGAAAATAACAAATATTTTCAAATACTGAAACAAATATTACTATTAACAAATACTGGAACCCTTGTATACTGCCATACTATTCTATGAAACATAGAATTACAATATAATCCAGCAATTTCTCTTCTGGGTATGTACCCAAGAGAACTGAAAGCAGGAACATGAGCAGATAATTTGCACACTGACATTCAGAGCAGCATTATTCACAACAGCCAAAAGATGGAAATAACCCAAAGGTCCCATGATGGAACAGATGATGAACGAATACGGCACACACGTAAAAAGGAATATTATTCAGCCTTAGAAAGGAATTAAATTCAGACATATGCTACAAGACACTATGCTGAGTGAAATACACCAGAAACAAGAAGATAAATGGTGTGTGATTTCACTCATGCGGAGGAGGAGTCCAACCCATAGAGACAGGGTGGCCAGAAGCTGTGGGGAAGGGAAGTGGGCTGTAGCGAGTTTCAGATTAGGGAATGGAAAACGCTCTGGAGATGAACGGTGGTGATCGCTAAACAATGTAAATGGACCCAATGCTGCTGAATTGTACACTTTAAGAAGGGGATGAAATAGCAACTTTTGTGTATATTGTTACAATTATAAAAAAGGAAAATCAGGCATAAATGGTAAGGTACCACTTCTTTACACAATTGTCGTATACGTGGGAAACGATCAAATCTCTGTTTCTACAATAAAATGGTTTGCTTAAACCACATGACCCTTCCTCCAAAACCACAAAAAAAATTTAGAAATCCTGTCACTAGAACAAAAATGCAAAACCGAGAACAGAGAGGTTGAACCCCTTTGCCTTCCAGCCTCCCTCAGATAAACACCACACCCCCACCACTTTCACTGTTACCTCTGCCCCCCTCAGTCCTAGAGACAGAGATTCTCTCTTCCTGCCTAAGGCCAATTCCCCAGCTTCTTGAGAAGGGATCCCACCTTCAGCTGCATTCTAACCGGTCTAGTCCCTCTGGACACTTGGCTTCTGAATCTGCTCCAATCTCTCTCGGTCCCTAGGTCTTCTCCCAGCATGACTTTCTCCTGGAAAGCTCTGGTAGCAGGTAACAGGAGGGGCTCTGCGGCCTGTTTATTCCCAGACATCTCTAACCCTCAATTTACCCATCCACAAATGTGCAAAATAAGTAGTCCCTTTTCCTCCCACTAATGTAGTGAGGATTTAATGGATAACAGGGATCACCTAGCACCATGCCTCACACGTCTTACATATTCACTAAATATTAGCTACAAATCATAACCCTTTATTATAGTTTCTCCCTAAACTGAGTTTCTAGAAACTGTGGTCAAGACTAAGACTTGCCACTTCTTTTACTACTTCTCTTTCCCTTCTCACCTGCAACCTGTCCTCTGCTCCCTCTCCTCCACTCCAGCTGGACCAGTAGAGGGTACTAGTAACCTTTCTAATGGAGAAGCCTAATGGAAGTCTGATAGTTCTTACCTTATTAGATCTCTTCTTCATGGCCAATCTGACTGACCACTCACACAACCTTGGTAAACACTACACACCCATTTTGGTTACCTGTTTCCCTAACTCCTCTACCACCCTGCCAGTACCCTGCAAGGGAGATAAGGGAGGCATGCGTTCTTACCTTTGTCCCCGACATACAGGAGACACCTGCTGCATGCACACAGTCCACCTACCACTCCAGTGATGGACACAGCCTGCCACCTAGGGTTCCCTGGAACCTGTCCCGCCCACGTGTCAAAGCTGCAGAGGATCCTCTACTTACCCTCGATCCTCTCACAGAGCTTGTGCAGGCCCTGCAAGGGGCAGCCCTCGCACAGCTGGGCTGGCGCTCTGGCCGTCTGCTGCACCGCAGCCACCGTGAAAGCCTGCTTCAGGGTCATCATAATTTCATCGACCTAATCAAAGAGAAGAGAAATAGCAGCCACCAAAAACTCAATTTAAAATTAGCTGGCTGAGATTTCAGAAAATCAATAGGAAAAATTTTTTAAGATTTTTTTTTTTTTTGACAGAGTCTCACTCCGTTGCCCTCAGTAGAGTGCTATGGTATCATCACAGCTCACAGCAACTTCAAACTCTTGGGCTCAAGTGATCCTCTTGCCTCCTGAGTAGCTGGGACTACAGGCGCCCACCACAATGGCCAGCTAGTTTTCCTATTTGTTTTAGTAGAGACAGGGTCTTACTCTTGCTCAGGCTGGTCTTGAACTCCTGAGTTCCAGCAATCCACCTTCTTCACCCTTCCAAAGTGCTGCAACTACAAGTGTGAGCCACTGTGCCTGGCCTGATCTTTTAAGATTTTTCTGGGTCAGGCGCGATAGCTACTCCTATAATCCTCACACTCTGATAAGGCAGGATGGGAGGATCCTTTGGGCTCAGGAGTTTGAGACCAGCCTAAGCAAGAGTGAGATCCCATCACTACTAAAAATAAAAAAATGTGCTGGGGGTTGTGGCTTTGCACCTGTAGTCCCAGCTACTCTGGAGTCTGAGGCAGAAGCATCAATGAGCCCAGTTTGAGGTTGTCAGGAGCAACAACAATGCCACTGTGCTCTAACGGCAGTGATAGAGCAAGACTCTGTCTCAAAAAAAGAGGGAAAAAAAAGATTTTTCTGAACTACTCTTCAGATTATAGTTGAAATAAAGACTAGGATTACAGTCTGAGAAATACATCTTTAAGACTCACAGCTATTTAAGCAGGTAAGACACAGACCAAATACTGAGTGAAAAGCAAACATTTTGGATCAAAAGTCCAAGATGTCATTTTGAAATGTTTGGCCAGAGGGTGAAACTGAGCAAATTCCTCAAAATAATATAAAATTTCAAACACACACCGGAAAAGTCTCAGATGTGCATTAGCTAGTTACTAATTAGTCATGAATGAATAATTAAAGCTAAATAATGTTGTATGGATGAGACCATCTAGTTTTGTTAAGGACTGAAAATTTAGGGAGATTGAAATTCCTTGTAAACAGGTTCCCGGGTGGGAACTGCCTGGCTGCCTCACCAGAGCTTCGTTGGCACACTGAAACACGTAGCAGACGAAGTGAAAGCCGCCACCTCCAGAAGACTCCCGGCAGATGAAGCCAAAGTGGTCCACGTGTCTGATGCCCTGTCAGAGGCAGGGGAAGAGGAGAACCAAGTTTAAGTTATATCCAGAGCAGGCACGTAAGAGGTGAGTGCATAGTTTCAAAGAACACTGGAAAATCACTATTTCTCAGGTGTTTTAAAATAAAAACAGACCCAGGTTGGGTGTGGTGTCTCAGGCCTATAATCCCAGCGCTTGGGAGGCCAAGGCAGGTGGATCACTTGAGGCCAAGAGTTCAAGATCAGCCTAGGCAACACAGTGAGATCTCCACATAACTTTTTTTTTTTAAATTATCGGGTATAGTGCACGTGCCTGTGGTCCTAAGTACTTGAGATGCTGAGGCAGGAATGATCACTTGAGCTCAGGAGTTTGTGCTACTGCATTCCAGCCTGGGAGACAGAGTGAGATGAGACCCTGTCTCTACAAATAGGCAGTTAATTAATTTAAAAATAAAAACAGATCTAAAAACATCTCTCAAATATGAAGATTAAAGTGTTTATACTAAAATGTTACATTAATTACCCACAAAAGAATAAGGGAATTAAGATTTGAAAACTCAAGTTCAGTGCTCATTTAAGTATTAAAATGAGAAAAGTTAAAACTTTTCTTAAGTATTAAAGAATAAATTAGTTTAAAAAAATCAAAGGCAGGCCAGGCATAGTGGCTCATGTCTATAATCTTAGCGCTTTGGGAGGCCCAGGCAGGAGGATCACTTACGATCACTTGAGCAACAGCAAGCAAAGTTCTATCTCCAAAAACAGAAAAACTGGCTAAGTGTGGAGCTGTGCACCGGCAGTCCCAGCTACTCAGGAGGCTGACACAGAAGGAACACTTGAGCCCAGAAGTTTGAGGCTGTAGTGAGCTATGACGACTCCACTGCACTCTAGCCCTGCCATGAAAAGTAAGACCTTCTCTCAAAACAACAACAAAAAACTCAAAGGCAGACCAGAGAATAACAAAGAAATGCAACTAAACGCACAGAAAGGCTTAAAAAACATTTTTTAAAATATATTTGTCCTCCTAAGATAATAAATAGGTAAATACTGATGTGAAATGGTATGAAGAATGAGTCAAAAATTATATGCACAGAGTGGAGAAGTTTTTGGTTGTTTGGTTTTTTTTTTTTTTTGAGATAGTCTCACTTTGTCACACTTGGTAGAGTGCCATGGCATCTTAGCTCACAGCAACCTCAAACTCTTGGGTTTAAGTGATTCTCTTATCTCAGCTTCCCAAATAGCTGGGACTACAGGCGCCCACCACAACACCCAGCTATTTTTTTTTTAGACACGGGATCTCACCCTTGCTCAAGCTGGTCTCGAACTTGTGAGCTCAAGCAATCCACCTGCCTCAGCCTCCTAGAGTGCTAGGATGACAGGTGTGAGCCACAACACTGGGTTGGAGAAGCTTTTAAAAGATATCAGGCCAGCTCGGCGCCTGTGGCTCAAGTGGCTGAGACGCCAGCCATATATACCTAAGGTGGCGGGTTCAAATCCAGCCCAGGCCCACCAAACAACAATGGCCGCAACCAAAAAATAGCCGGGCACTGTGGCGGGTGCCTGTGGTCCCAGCTACTTGGGAGGCTGAGGCAGGAGACTCGCTTGAGCCCAGGAGTTGGAGGTTGCTGTGAGCTGTGATGCCACAGCACTCTACCCAGGGGGACAGCTTGAGGCTCTGTCTCAAAAAAAAAAAAAAGATATCAGGCCAAAGATCTACCATACTTTCCTAAGAGCGCTTTTTAGTAAATATTAATATATAAACTTTGTCTGAAATCACTCAACGGGGGATAAAACGTCTTCCATAAACATGAAAGTATCAATGTCCCCTCTAAGCATGCAGAGATATGGGCCTTGAACTTCAGGGAATCACATAAACTGTACTCCTTAGGAAATAATAAAACTATCACATGAAAAAGCAAACATCTAACATTAATATCTCAACAGAAATAATAGCAACGGCCACTGAGCAGCGCCTGTAGCTCAGTGGGTAGGGCACCAGCCATATACACGGAGGCTGGTGGGTTCGAACCTGGCCGGGGCCAGCTAAGACAACAATGACAACTGCAACAAAAATAAAATAGCCACGTGTTGTGGCGGGCACCTGTAGTCTTAGCTACTCGGGGAGGCTGAGGCAAAAGCATAGCTTGAGCCCAAGAGTTTGAGGTTGCTATGAGCTATGATGCCCTGGGGCACTCTACCAGGGCCACAGCTTATCTCAAAAAAAAAGAGCTTTTTCAGCTTTTGTCTCAAAAAAAAAGAAAAAGAAAGAAAGAAGGAAAGAAATATTAGCAAATCAGGATAAAAACTCTGTGGATAATTTCACTTGCAGGCCAAATATTTCCCTGAATTTGGCTATTTCTTTTTAAACTCTGACTTTACCAGGGCATCTCAATCAGGAGTCTCTGATAGACACAGCTGGAAGCTACAACTTAGGGGAATATGATTTAGAAAAAGTTTTTCTTGCTCAATCGTTCTCCATTCACTCTAAGGAGAACATTATTTTCATGGTTTGCTGGAGAGAAAAAATTCCCTTTGATTATTTAAGTAGATGTTATAAATCAACAAAACACTAAGACTTTCATTACAGTATTTTATAAATTACGAAAAGTCAGTTTGAAAAGAAGTAGCCAAACGTAACGTTAAGTGAGCTCGCGTGTTTTAGGAAGATTCTGAGCATAGCTCATTGTAACTGATAGATTCTTCCAACATCTCTCTATGAAACATCTCAGAGATCATCAGAAAAAAGTTTTTAAGTAGACACTATATTCTGAGTAAAACATCAAAAATCCTCAAAGATAAGCACTATTTGTGTAAGAGAGAAGAAATATTGATGATTGGTACCAAAAACAGATATGAATGTTTATAAAGTAGAAATGTATTACCTATTAAAAAGACGTATTTGTATGGATGTGTAAAATATAACACACACACACATGGACCCAGAAATCATGACTATGGAACATTCCTACCAATAATTGAAACAAAAAAAGTAGATCCATTTTGTCTATTAGGTTTTGTTGCTGAGAGCAAAATTCTTAATTTCAAAATTATGTTTATAATTTTCCTTAATATACCAAACAAATGAAATGCAAAATCACAAATCATGTCCAGCACTTCGGGAACACACTGTCTTGTACCCTTTAGCGCTTTTGTTGTATGACAGATATTAATGGAATTCACTTAAAAATTCAATTGCAGGCTCGGCGCCTATAGCTCAACCGGCTAAGGCGCCAGCCACGTACACCTAAGGTGGCGGGTTTGAATCCCCAGCCTACACCCCCCAAACAACAATGGCGGCTGCAACCAAAAAAAAAATAGCCGGGCGTTGTGGCGGGCGCCTGTGGTCCCAGCTACTTGGGAGGCGGAGGCAGGAGACTCGCTTGAGCCCTGGAGTTGGAGGTTGCTGTGAGCTGTAAGGCCATGGCACTCTGCCCAGGGGGACAGCTTGAGGCTCTGTCTCAAAAAAAAAAACAAAAGAAAAAAAAAATTCAATTGCAATTAAACCAATAACCCATCACCATTTACCTGAGAGCAAAAGGATATCTCCTTAAAATTTTTCTCCAACGCTATTTTTTTGGTGTCAGGACTGATGAGGTAAACTTCAGATTGGCCAATCTTAAAAGACAAAACAAACAAAAAATGCTAATGTTTCATGAGAGTTTAATTCAAATTTATTATACAAACTTTCTCATTCATGACCTATGAAAATAAAGAACAAAAACAGAAAATTCCTATACAATCCTGACAATATCACTTTAGAAAATCACTTCCAAGGTTCTAACCTATCCTGCAGATTTCAAGGAGTAAAGGACAGTTTGGGGCATTTGCCTACAAGGACAGCAGTCTTCTCTAAAAAGACCAAATACCCAGAAGTCAGAAACAGGTGTCAGGGTCTAAGTGAGAGTTCTTCTGCATGACTGAATCTTCCAAAAAACAGAAGCTTTCTCTTTTAAAATTTCCAAAACTTTCTAATGATAACTTTAACGGCTAGTCTTTTTTCAATTGTTAAAATAATCTGCCAGTTGTTAAGTACATGTTATATGTGAGGCAGTCCCGTAAACTACTCTTTAAAGTTACGGCATTAGCGTGTTAAGTTAACGCTGTGTTGTTGACCTGGCACGCGCTAATAGACGTGCACCAGGAGGGCTCTGTTGCAGTATCCACACTGCAGTGTCCAAGGTGACTCCTGGATGCCTCCTCTCCACGGTATTAAGCTTCTTGGGTTTCTGTGTCTGTTGTTTTCTATAGATTTACTTCTTGCTCAGGACCAAGAAGTCTGTGGTCACATCCTGTTACTGCTGCAGTAATTCACAGTCCCATCTCCTCCTCTAAAGTCCACACCTTGGTGGAATACAAATCAGATACACAAGCTTCTCAGAGACTGGGATGTAAGGCAAGAGTAATCACACTCTCGACGAGAGGCCCCAAGCAATATGCATTTTGCTCTGGGAATGCCTTTGCACTCAGAATAGTTTTGCCACCCAATTTCTAAACTGTATTCCAGCCAGGGGAGACGGACAGGTAGCTTTCTACCTTTGTCCTCCTGTGGATACCAAGTGTGATGCAAAACATTCGTTTCTAAATTCAACTTCTCTCCAAATTAAACTAAACTGTGTGTCTCTCCAGAGTAAGAACCAACACAATATCCCCCCCAATTTGTAAACAGTGAATGAATTATCTATTTTCAGTATGTTTAGTCTCTTTAGAGGTCAATGTCTCTATATACATAATGAAGATAAACTTTGTTTTATTTTTAAAAAGAACCTTCGGACATCTCATAGCTGAGAAGCTCCAGAGCATTATTATTTGGCTATTGCTGGGCTGTAAAGAACAAATCAGCCTCTAAAGTTGAGAGGGGCTCCTGAGATCCCTCTCTTTCCCCATGGCAGTCAATCAATTGCACATCCCATCAACTTGACCCCTTGGCTACCCGTCCCTCTGTCCACATCTCTCCACCCCCAGCACCTTCACTACAAGCCCCACCAATCTCTCACCTGGACTGCTGCAGCAACCTCTTAACTCTCCTCCCCACCCTGCTTTTGGCCTCCCCCAAGTACAGCCTCATTTTACAGCCTGTGTCCTAAACTATTCAGTGACAGCAGCTTTTAGGATGAACAACAAAATCCTGAGCACAACCCGTTACAGTGGTACCTGATGAAGCTCCTGCCTCTGGCCCCAGGACCAGCCCAACCCACCCTTCTCTCCTTGCTTTCAGGCAGTCACCTGGATTTCTTTCTTATCCAAAAAGCATCTATTGAGCCCCTGTCCTACTATAGGCCAAGCTCTGGGTACTATTGACAACTAGTAAAATAAAATCCCTGTTCTTGTAAAGCCTATCTTCTGGGAACATGTGGGTCAAAATATTTTACCCCCTTCTTTGTAGTGGTGTCAAAGGGTAGAAGTGCCACAGAGAAAAGTAAGGCAAAAAGTAGGATGGGAAGTTGCCACTGGCCTCACTGGTAAGATTCTTCCTTAATGTCGGGTTAGCAGGTTAGCAGAGACTGAAGGAGTAAGGCAGGCCCGAGACAACTGCCCAGCAAAGGCAGCGTACAGGCTGCAGGGTGCTCTCGGCACCGGCCTCTGTCTCTCCCGGAGGGTCTTCTAACCTGCTGCTCCCGGAGCCCAGGGGTGCCTCCTACATGGCCACACAGAAACCTCCACCTGATGCAAGTCCCTTCTCAAAGGAGCCCTTCCTGTCTCACAGCACCCTCTACTTCTCCTGGGCAGCATCTGTCACAACTGTAATCAGATAATTACTTGCGCTGTCAGTGGCCTGTCTCCCTTCTGGAATCTACCTACCACGTGGACTGAGACCTATCCCTGCCTTGTTCCACAGGAACCCAACCACTGGTGACTGCTCCCCTGTCCATCCTTTTTCTAGCATTTGGCAGTCAGTTTAACAAATTTTTGCTAGAAATAAGCAAGCAATGGACTAAACTAGTATTTCACTTTGAGCATAAATTTCAAATAGGTTATTTACAAAGCCAATTATCCTGATTTAGCAAAGGATAAATGTTTTTATAAATTAATAAAAAATAGTAAGGAGAACTTTTTTTAACTAAAATATTTTGTTGAACTACATTACTTAAAATTCATACACATTTTTTAAAATCTCTCTTTTGACCTTTTTTACGTATTTTAACTGTTCTTGCCTATTGAAAGGTGTCTTTAAAACTGGGGGGGGGAGATAAAAATTACACTTGAACATGAGATGGCTTTTCCTTATGTTCTCTGATGACTTTAAAGGCTTATGGCTAAAGTAAGAATTTAATTCTAAGAAAAGAATTACACAGTGTAAAAGTGTATGGAATTCACACGCAAATCCCAAAGCAATTTACTAAGAATCTTTGCTCGGTAAAGCTGCTTTTCTCTTGAGCAAGTATCTCAGAGTGGGATAAAGACCGGGCGTGGTAACATTTTACCGTGAAGAGCATAGTTCGATTTTCCTCCATATCTGTTGGCTGCACAATGTTGTGTCCGCTAATGAGGTGGTTCTCAATGTCGCTTTCCTCAAAAGAGCTGAAAAAGCTACTGCTCCTGAGGCTGCCATCGGGAAAGTCCTTCCTGAAGGCCAGTGAGCGCAGGCCGGGCTGGGAGGAGGACTTGCGCATGGGCCTCCTGGTGGCCCCCACCATCCCTGTCCCCGAGCTCCCAGTCCCCAAGAGCGGCTCCGACCCGAGCTTCTCCAGGAAGGGCAGTGCTCTCCCGGGGCTGGGGCTGTCGGCGCTCTGAGAGGGCAAGTCCAGGTCGGCTTTCCTGCTGCAGCTGACATGGTTGAACTTCTCGATGCACTCGTCAATCAGGGCTGGCGGGGCCTTCTTGTGCGCCACCGTCACGCGGCCACAGAAGAGCACCTCGAACTTCTTGGCAAACGTGTCATCAAACTCCGAGGGGCAGTGCAGCTCCTCCTGGCGGGCGATCTTCCCGGCCTGGCGGATGGAGCTGATGATCTCAGGCACCTGCCGAGAAAGAGGAGTGTCAGCAGTAAGTAGCGGTGGTGACAGGCGGGCACACTGCAGGGTAAACACGCCACAGCCTCTTCACACGGAAGAGCACTGAAGGAGGGAAGACTGCGAGAGCCTTCCTGTGGGAGGGAACGCACAACTTCCACAGAGAAGAGAAGGGGACGACATTTATTAAGCACCTCTTCCGTGCCAAGGGCCATTCTGGAGGATGGATGTGCTCACAACACCTTACAAGGTTAAGTAACCAACCCCAGGACACACAGTTCAAGATCAGATTGGGTCCCACTCCAAAGCCAAAGGTCCTCTCTGGAAAGGCTGTCACCTCCCAAAGAGGTTTGTGTCCGATGTGTTTCACCAAAACATTACCCAACTATTCTAGATTTCGTGGCAGTATACATCAGAAAGTCTTCGTCCATAAATGGTGGAATGAAGACAAGAGTTTGAAATTACCTCACAGAATATTTATCCAAATCCCAGCATCATTATTATCTTCATTAACAACAAGTTATTACTTAGCCCTGCATCTCCTAAGAGTTGAATAGTGAACGGGATGAGGACCAAGCTAGGTTTTCATCAGGGAGTGAGCAGCCTGCAGCTGACATCATCATCAGCCTCACCCCAGGGCTGCTTCACGTGGAGACTATAAAGCTTTCGCTTTCTCCTGGAAAAATCCTGATTAAAAGAATGTACTCAAAGGTCTCATCTGCTGCCGGTGTCCCTACTGCTAAATCCTCTCATCATCAACTTCTGACAAGATTTTGCAAAGATACATTAGGCATGAAGATGAATCCACGCTGCAGAGGTAAACAGCCACACACCTGCTCAGATGCTGCACAATCACGACACTGAGTTCAATATTTGTGGCCCGGCACAAATTTAAACGAGGCAGGCATAAGTTCAATATTTTTTAAAATGGCCTAGTTTTTGTTATGATCTATCACCTAAACCAATTTTTTTCCAATTTTCTAGGTAAGGAAAATTCAATTTATGGCCCAATACCCATAGGGCCAATGTCTTTTTAACAATATTACAGAGAAAAGAAAAAAAAAATCCCTTTTCCAATTCAGGTCAGAGGTCAATGTGTACAGTAAATGAGGTGGTTTTCTATTTTTAAAATATGTCTATATTCTGTGTTCATGGTATAACTCTCAAAGACCCAACTCAAAAGAGTTTTTTCTCTTTGTGATTTTTATACCAAGCACACCTCACAGATCTCTCTGCCATAACAATTATGATGTACCTCTTCACATTATTAGATCATATGAAGAGTTAAAAGATCTTTAGGGATAAATTTATTTCTAAAGCATAAAACCTAAGCAATATTTAAAAAGTCAAAATTTCAACAGACATTAAATATCCACTCACAATGAGTGTTTATGCTATAGCTCATTTGCTTATGCTATATAGCTCACTCATATACTGCCAAATTATTACACATCATGTCAAGGCCTAAAATTGTTAATATAGAAAGATGACAGGACAGAGAGAAGAAAGAAGAGGGGTTCAAGTTTCATCCGCACCTTTGCCAAATATTTCACCATAGGGCTTTGGCAAAAACAGCTATAGTTTCTCTCCAGAAAAGTACTTAAAAGATTTTCCAGGTAAGGTAAATAATAATGATATATTTCAAACAAACAATCCAATTTATGAGGCCGGGTGCAGTGGCTCACACCTGTAATCCCAGCCTTCTGGGAGGCTGAGGCATGTGGATTGCCTAAGCTCACAAGTTTGAGATCAGCCTGAGCCAGAGCAAGACCCCATCTCTAAACTAGCTGGCATTGTTATGGGCACCTGTAGTCCCAGATACTCGGGAAACTAAGCCAAGAGGATGACATGTACCCAAGAGTTGGAGGCTGTTCTGAGCTATGACACCATGGCACTCTACCCAAGGTGACAAAGTGAGACTCTATCTAAAAAAAAAAAAAGAAATCCAATTTATGCAAGTGAATAACCTTGCCACCTTTCTCAGCAAGCGTATGAGATTATTTTATCAAGAGTCATATGAATCTTCCCAATTACTAAGCCTGCTCTGAACAGAAAATTCAAAGCTTATTCAGTCCTCAGAGACTTGTTAAAAACCTGACCTTTCTATATGCTGTGTCTTGCAGCCACATCTGAAGTACCAAAGCGATTGGTATCTTTCATTCCATATCAAAGAAGGGAGAAAATGTGTGAAGTCACGTGAATTTATGGTGACTCAGTAAATGCCACAAACAAGAACAAGACACTAAATAAATCTCTTCATTGTTCCCTCAATTCCCTGGGTCAGAAGAAGCTAAAGAGTACATAATACCTTGGTTAAGGTTGAGGCTGGGGTAGGTGGTAGTTTTTCCAAGTACGGATCTCTCCTATACTTTAAACAGAATCTTCAAAAGACACACTTTAGTCAAGGACCAAAGCCTCTCTCTCCTTGCTCTGGGAAGTCTTATTTTTCAGGCATAATTTCTTGAGCTCAAGGGATGTCACAGTCAGGGTGAAGTGCATCCTGCCACCCAGAAGCCCCAAGAAGCTGTGTGGAAGGAAGGGGGATGTAAGGGAGTGACTGGGGTCTAAAAACAAAAATCACTAGGATACCAGTCAGAGGAACGTAACAATTTCAGAACATCTGGAGGCAAATAGCATATTGCCAAACAGAGTTTCAACAATAAATTGCCAATAGTAAACTAAATGCTATTTAAACATAATTATAAGTTATCTGAGTATGCTGATACTGAATGAAAAATAGACTCCACCTATGTTTGTAACACCTTTGTGGTAAGTTTAGTCCCCTTTATCAGAACAGCTGGGACACTGTTTTTGGAAAAACAAAGGCATAAATGTCCACTTCCCAGAAAATCCTAACTTCCTCATTCTTTGTGACTCTGATTTGGACCCACCTACACTTACTTTTTGCATGGGGGAATTGAGTCATTTGCTTCTTTTTATTTATTTCTTTTTTTTTTTTTTGAGACAGAGCCTCAAGCTGTCACCCTGGGTAGAGTACCGTAGCATCACAGCTCATAGCCACCTCCAACTCCTAGGATCAAGCGAGTCTCCTGCCTCAGCCTCCCAAGTAGCTGGGACCACAGGCGCCTGCCACAACGCCCGGCTATTTTTTGGTTGCAGCCGTCATTGCTGTTTGGCGGGTCCGGGCTGGATTCGTGGCGCCTCAGCCACTTGACCCACAGGCGCGGAGCCGCTTCTTTTTATTTCTAACCATCTTTCTAGGTATCTCTAGACACCACAGCTAAGAATTCAGAAATGTGAAATGAATGTAAATATTTCCCTCCTTGGAGGAGGTTTAGTGAGAATCCCTTCTAGGAACTGAGTGAGATGGGGCAGGCTGAGAGGACGAACTCAGTGATAAAGGCTGAGAAGATGGCTGAATAAAAGATTCTGGAAGACAGGATTCTTGGGACTTGGTGGAGACCTGAGTGGCGGGGGGTTGAGGGCATGAGGACTATATAGGTGGTTCCCAGAGCTTGGGCTTCTGTGAGGATGGGGGTTCCATCAGCTTGCCCAGGGAGTTCATAGGAAGGACAGGGTTGGGAAAACAGCACCATAAGCGCTACTGTTGTACGTGTAAAACCAGGAGGATTTGAAAGTAAAGGCATGCAGAGAGCAGTGGCTCAAGCCTGTAATCCTAGCACTCTGGGAGGCCCAGGCAGGTGAACTGCTTGAATTCAGGAGTTCAAAACCAGCCTGAGCAAGAGGGACATGAGACCCACCTCTAAAAAAAAAATAGCTGGGCATTATGGTAGGCATGTCTGCAGTCCCCGCTACTTGGGAGGCTGAGGCAAGAGGATTGCATGAGCCCATGAGCTTGAGATTGCTGTGAGCTGTGACGCCACAGCACTCCACCAAAGGGAACAAAGTGAGATTCTGAAGAAAGGGAAAGGAAAAGAAAAAGAAAGAAAAGGCATCTAGTGGACCCCTGAACGAAAGAGCCTGGGACATAAGGTGCTTGTATATGGGAGGGAATGAAAGGAAGCAAAGCTAGGCCTGCGGGATACCCCAAGATTTCAGATGTAGAGAAACTGAGGAACTGCAGGCAGAAGAAGAGAAAAAGGCAAGGTTGAGTGAGGTTAGAGGGAAGGGGGCACTCCAACTCCAGAAGAGGAAAGCCAGTCCGCATCTGAGAATAAGTAAGGGCTGAGATAGGAGCTGTTGTCAGGTCCGACAGAGACGTAAAAATAAGTAAGATGGGATGCCAATGCTAATCCCACAAATAAAAATGACTGAAAATGTCTTAAGGCAAAACTGTATTTAGTCTATAAAACTAAATGCCTCTGGTTACAGTATTTGCTGCAAAATCACAGACCCTTTTAGGGCAAATACACAAAGGCCAGTTGAGTTTATTCCCACTGATATAATCTAAGTACTTTAAGCGAAAATCTTTTCTTAGTTTAGTAAGAGCAATAATATTTATGTCATTTTTATTTGAAGAAAAACCAAAACCAACTATAGCACAAACAAGAATTTGAAAAGCATTTTACTGAAAGAACTTCATAAGGGTTTGAGGCTTGGTCTGTATTCCTTTTACGTTGGAAATCACAATAAAAATGTTTGATAATTCAAATCAATCACCAATAATTAATTAAGAAACAGGCCCTGTTTAGATTATTTAATTGTACTAAACTCATTATTCTGCCAACCTATCTGAGTTTATAGTAAAGCTGGATTTTTTTAATTTTTTCTTTTATTTCAGGTTAATGTGAAGGTACAAACAACCAGGTTTAAAGTTTGATTTTAAAAGAAAATCTGCATTTTGTTCACGACTAAAAATAGTTATTTTAGAATTCACATACTAACAAATAAATGCACCAGAAAAAATAAAATTTCTGAAGCATATGTATGTGAATACTATTTGCTAAGTAGCCAGAAAATGGCACTCCAGGAGAATTAGAAATATTCACTTCTGTAAATAAAGCGCTTATTTAAACCCTTGGGTCAATTTTCTTTTTAAGGATTTAGGGATTTTAAAGGATTATAAACATACTGCAAGTGTAATTTTA